GCTGCCAAATATCTCATTTTGATTCCAGTTTTGATATTTTAATGGATATTTATAAATTACATTGATTATCACATTTTTGTTGCATGTTTAACCAGCTCTATTGTGATGAATTAAACCAGCACCTCACTGTTAAAAGCTCGTTTTAATTTCAAGCATGTTTAAGTATTTATGGACATGAACAAAAACAGGAAATATATAAATTGAGATTTATTTAATTAATATAACAAATAAGGGGGAAAGAGTCATTGAAAGGCACATTCTTCCGGAAGCTCCTGATCCTGACGACACCAGACCAGCTGCAGACACCAGAGGACCTAGAACCAAGAGAGCAGCTGTTATCAGTAAATAAATAAATCAGGGCAGTTTTAGTGGGCTGAACACATTACAGAATAATTTTCTCATGGGGTATTTTCATACATTTCTATGCAGCAGACTGTAACTTGAGCTCCTGGAGAGCTGCTATCCAGCACGTTTCAGTGGTTTTCCTGCTTTAACAGGTTAGATTAGCTGTTAAGCAGCTCAGCTATTTGTTGCTGATTAAAACCAGGTGTGTTGAAGCAGATAAACCTCTAAAACATGCTGAATACTAGCTTTTTAGGGCCGTGGAGCCCTCAGCTAATCCAATGCTATGGCTAACGGCTACTTACCATTCAGAGCTGGTTCTGTTGGGTCGGTTCTGCTAGTTTCAGGCAACTCACAAGCTCAAAACAATAAGGCTCAGGTCCGCTTGTTTCCTCCAAATAGACTTGATCCCTTTCTTCTCGAGTTTCTGGGTAAGGAGGGGGAAAAACATCCTCCACTTCTAATAACTGCTCAGAGTGAAGGGAGCTAGCATCGTCTAGTTAGCCATCGTCTTCGTCACTGCCGCGGCTCCGCCCTCTCGGTCCTCCGGGCAACGCCTACTAATGTTGCATTTTTTAAAATTGATACGTGGGTGGAGAAGGACTCCGAGGCACACTTTACCTGCTCTTTAATAGTCCAGTAATTCAGATGTAATTTCAGGGATGTACCCAGCAGATGTCTCTATTTCACAATTTAAACAGCCTGCTTTAGTCTGTGTTCCCATGGTGTGGTCATACAAGCACAAATGTGCACATTTTTTGTAAAATGTAGAACAAAACAACTCCACACCAGCCTGCAGCTAAGAACTCAAAGTGTGAAAGCAGTACCCAGTCAAGCTCCATTAAATGTATTATTATTATTATTATTATTATTATTATTATTATTATTATTATTAATGTTGTTATTGTTATTATTGTTATTGTTATTATTTGTACTAAAATTCAAATTTCATCTGTTTTTGCTTTTCGTAAAAGGAGACTTTTTTGGTGACCTAAACATGCATCACTGGGGTGCAGGCAGCTCTGACCGAGGCAGGAAGAGACTGAACAAGCTAGGTCATAAAGCTAGCTCGGTTCTGAGCTGCCCAGTGGATACAGTTGAGGAGACGTATGAAAGGAGGATTATGGGGAAGATGACAACCATCATAATAAAAACTGACCCGCTGCATTCCAATGTGGAGACCATGGACAGCTCCTTCAGAGGCAGACTGAGACATCCCAAATGTAAAACAGAATGCTACCTTAGGTCATTCATCCCCTCTAAGAGTCTATAACTCCTCAGTTTAACTGGTACTGTTATTATCCTGTTACACAGTAACACCAATGCAATATTCATTATGTGTTCAATACTCGTTCAAAACCAGATTTACATAGTATGTCCATGTCGCTTACAGTAAGCTGCATAGTCTTAGGTGTGTTCTTGCTGTGCCGCATCTCCAATTCCATGCTGTACTGTAGTTCTTTTTTAAAACACAGAGCAGTTTTGTTTACCTGTTTTCCCGCTACGTTTCGTTTGCGGCTGCAAACTTCCTCACTTCCTTCTCCGTTTATCGGCGGGCAGCAGAGGACGTTGTCGCCCTCTGCTGCCCGCTCTCCCCTCTCCGAAGATGCAGTCCCATGCGCGGTCCAACGTGTAAACTCCATCGTCCCTGTTCATGGTCCCACATCCACGTCTCCTTATCTCGATTGCTTCTTTAATCCATCTTTTGTATTTTTGTTGTTCGGTGTTTATGATCCTTGTGTTGTCCCAGTCCATTATATGGTTTTCTCTTATGCAGGGATCTGTTACGGCTGACTTCTTTATTGTGCTTTCTGTTTCTTCTTTTGCTGCTCTTGTGTGTTTTCGACTTGCCTCTTTCTCTCACTCCTTTCTATGTTCTATTGTTCGTGTGTTGAGTTGGTGTCCGGTTTCTCCTATGTATGTTTTATTGCAAAGTTTGCATGGGATTTCATAAATGACTCCACATTTAAGTCCAGCTGATATCTTGTCTTTTGGGTGTACTAGTCTGTTTCTAACTGTTGTGTATGGTTTTGTTGGTGTGTTTATGTTGTGTTTTTTCATTGTCGCTCTTATTTTTTCTGTTATGCCTTTAATGTATGGTAAGGTTATGACTGGTTTTGGTTCTTGTCTTTCTGGGTTTCTGGTTCTTTGCTTTGGTTGTCCTTTTCTTTCTGTAGTTGTTTGTTGTTTTCCTTTGTTTATTGCCCATGGTATCCGCAGGTCTTTAAAGCATGTTGTATGTGTTTGTTCTCTTGTTTACGGTCTCTTTCTTCTGTTATTATGTTTGCTCGTAATGTTCTGATTACTGAAATTTTGAGTATGGTGGGGTGTTCTGATGTCCATAATAGATATTGGTCTGTGTGTGTGGGTTTCCTATATGTGTTTATGTTTAGGATCCTGTCGGTCTGCCTGCTTATTTTCATGTCCATAAATGCTATGCTGCCTTCTGTTTCTGTCTCATAAATGAACTTTATGCTGCCTGTGTTGTCAATATTATTCAAGTGTTGTGTTAGTGTTTCTGTTTGTCCTTTTGGTATGATTTCCAGTATGTCGTCTACGTAGCATTTCCATAGTTTTATTTTGCAGTTTGGGGGGGGGGGGGGGGGGGGGGGGCAGTGGCTATGGCTTTTTGCTCTAGGTCTTCCATGAAAAACTCGCACAGGGTGGCTGATAACGGGTTACCCATGGCGAAGCCTTCCAGTTGTTTGTATATTGTGTTGTCATATGTGAAGTAAGTGGAGTTACCTCTGCAATAAAACATACATAGGAGAAACCGGACGCCAACTCAACACACGAACAATAGAACATAGAAAGGAGTGCGAGAAAGAGGCAAGTCGAAAACACACAAGAGCAGCAAAAGAAGAAGCAGAAAGCGCAATAAAGAAATCGGCTGTAACAGATCACTGCATAAGAGAAAACCATGTAATGAACTGGGACAACACAAGGATTACAAACACCGAACAACAAAAATACAAAAGATGGATTAAAGAAGCAATCGAGATAAGGAGACGTGGATGTGGGACCATGAACAGGGACAATGGAGTTTACACATTGGACCGCACATGGGACTGAATCGTCGGAGAGGGGAGAGCGGGCAGCAGAGGGTGACAACATCCTCTGCTGCCCGCCGATAAACGGAGAAAGAAGTGACGCGTCAGCCTGAGGAAGTTTGCAGCCGCAAACGAAACGTAGTGGGAAAACAGGTAAACAAAACTGCTCTGTGTTTTAAAAAAGAACTACAGCATGGAAGCTGCATAGTGTTGGAACCCAAGTTTTTTACTTTTTTTATATGTGGTTTTTAGTGGTCGAAGGTTACAATTCTAGACTACTGCCTATACTGTATATACATGTACCTTTGTTATTATTTTTCTCCATAGTATCCCCTTAAGTGTTAGTGCTGCTGTAACAAGTGAATTTCCCCACTGTGGGATCGATGAAGTCTGTTCCATTCTATTCTATTCAAAAGCTAATGCTAACTAGCATGCGACCTGAGGTATGTCTGGTCAATGTACTCCAAGTGAAAATGATTAATCCTTGACCACTCCAATTAAAAGTGAAAGGTTGGCTTTTGGGGGCATTACTTTTGGAAAATATGAAATAATTCCTTCCAGTAATGGCAAATAAACAAAACAAGTATTCAAGCAAGTTTTTTTCCTTTTGTTTTGGGTTTTATTTATTTATTTATTTATTTTGTTTTTTGTAGGGAAGCTGGCAGCATCCAGCCACCAGGAGGTGTTGCTCCTTTTCGCTTGCAAATGAATGACAGAAGAATATTTTTAAAAATTAATTCTGCTCCATGAAGAAAAGACAGAAAAAGAGAAGCAACAGTCATTTTTAAGTCTGTTTCCATCCTTTTATAAACATTTTTCTTTAAAGTGACTATGTGTGTTTTCCCTGGCATAAGGGGCAGTACATACCTCAATCATTGCAAGCAAGCTGTATTTTAAGGTTTGAGTAAGACCTTACCAACGGATGTTAGATTAAAAAATCCCTCGCAGAGCGATTTTCAAGCACACCAGACTCCATTTCATACAACGACTGAAGAGGTAATATAAAACAACACCGTGATTTGTAAAGTTTTGTAAACGTTTTTTACAAATCAGTAAATGTGTTTTGTCCTCACGGGCTCCCATAGAAGGAAACGTGGTGTTCAATATGACATTGCCCAGAGACTTAGGCCCAATCCCAATACTGTGCCCTATCTTCTGTGAAGTGCACTTGGAGGAAGTGCGCAATAACGCCACAATGCATTGTCGTTGACCACAACGCATGCCGAGATGCTGGTCTCTGTGCAACTTTAAAAAAAAACTGTAATAACAACTTTCAAACAAACAACCAAACAGTTATTTGAAATAAATTTACTTATATTGCTGCTTTGTCTAAAACATTCAGAGCGTGAATTAATCATCCTAAAATGAACTACTTTCATTTAAACATACATATGTTCAGAAAAACACTTAAGCCAATTCTCCCGCAGCAATGGATTGTGGGTAATACACTTTACCCAAGATACGAACTTGGGTGATCAAGGGTGCAAAAGGGGTACTTTTTTTATGCTGCATCATTACTGGAGTTTCTCTGCAAAAAAATATCACACAACTGATATGTAAAAAATACAATGTGTATAGAATGCAACCACTTCACATATAAGCCCAGCAGACTTTTCCCTCAGAATATTTTATTGTTCATTCTACATCAGTTGGTCATTGGACAAACTGCCTCCAATCAGTTCTTAGTTTGTAGGATACATTTATGACCAAAGAACACATTTCACACTGCTACAGACTGACAGAACTGCCAAATCGAATGTAAAGATATCTATTTACTGTCATGCTGAGTGTCTTTGTCAGTTGTAATGACTTACTGATGCTGTTACTACTGCTAGTGTGGCTTCTGGCAAAAAAAAATGGAGTTTACAGGTTCCAAAGGGGAAATTTCAGAGGATCTGACACCTATGGTAAAAATTTGCACTGTAATTTACAGTTAGATGAAACTGCAACCTTGCATGAAGCTGGACATTGCATTGTCTGGCCCAGCCTAAATAGAAAGAAAGTGTAGCACACTGACCCTTATAGAAAAAAAATTGTATGCATTGATTCGTTCACGAATCCCCATAGCACAATTTTACCTAAGTTCATTAGTTGTGCAGTATTTGAAGATAGTAAACAGCTATGATCTTAGAGATCTTTGTATATTTACAGCTTTGTATATCCTTTTGTGTAAGGGCTGTAGCATAGTCAACCTGCAACTAATAGTTTTTCATGATTGCACTGAATACAAAATAAAAAGAGACCTCAGCAGAGTGCCATTTCTGTACATGAGTGTTTCCTTTTTTTTATACATACTTTTAATGGTTAGCTTTCATTTTCACAATGTTTCTGTCTTTGTCATTCATTTTATGTCATGGCAACTCAGTGGTAGCTCTACTTTGGCAGTCAGTTCCAGTGGTCTAGATGTGGGCACCCAAGGCCTCCCATGTTCCACAATTTGACAAACGAGTCGATGCATCCTTAAACCTGCGTTCTCACCGTGCCCTTAGACAGGCCATCTTGTGCAGCATAGTTCCATGTTAATAGTCTTACAGTTTATTTTTCTTCTTCTCTTGTTAGTGCTTTTGCTACTAACAAAAGTTGTGCTAGTTTGTTGAAACCCCTTTGTCTGTCTGGTTTGTTAAAGGCCATTTCACAGTTAAGTTCCAAGCAGCAGTCTTGTTCCAGGGTAAGGTGAAGAAAGCCAGAGGCTCTCAAGGGCCAGTTCAGTTGGTCCATTCACTCCAGACAGATGTTAGGCAAGTGCTTTCCAGTATTCCCCTTTGCTTCCACTCAAAGTCCTCTACATCTCCTTTTTAATTTGTGCCATTTCTGATTGTTTTAAGTGGAAGCTCAAGCAACTAATCCTTTGAATCCCTGTTAATTAGAAACACTAAACTAGCCCAAGTAGACCTGGCTATTATTAGGACATGCAGCTAATAAGGCTATCTCAGCTATAAAACTGGCTATTTGAAGTTTAAAATTCTTGCAGCGTTGTAGACAAAGTATACTCTAATGAAAGCTGGAAACATGATGTTCATAACTGACGTATATAATATGACACTTGTAAGCCATGTAATACATACATTTAAGCTGAAGCATCTGAGTTAGCTGTATTAGCTACACTTGCAAGCCTCTTATTTTTTAGGGCTGGATCAGACAAATGTTGTTATCCATCAGGACCTCGACACCGACCTTGGACAAAAGGCCATTGAACCGTTTCTGGGAGAGGCTTGGACATCCAAAGGAGATGTGCAGGTCAATGAGGAAAGAAGAAAAAGTATCCAGCCACACTCTGCTTTTTACCTAAAGTGGTTAAAACACTAAAGTTTTCATGTGAACAGGCAAAGTTGTCATTTCGTTGAACAAAGGTCTAGTGGAGGATACTTTTTCAATCTTGTAGTCATTTGCCCTCCCTGCGGCCCTGCTTCTTTCTATTTTCCCATCTTTGGGCTCCACGTTCTCCTTCACAGGCTGTTTTTGTCTGGCAACTCAGCCTCTGGACTACGAGGAAAGTAGACGGTGGCTTTGTGCTCCTCATAGCGATCGATGTGCTTGAGATGTACCACCATGTGTAGGGCATAGGCTAAGACGAGAAGAAGGATTAGGGATGTCACCAAGCCCATCAGTATGGCTGGGGTCAAGAAAGTAGCACAGTCACTGGCCGATGCAAACTTGTCTGACTGCACATTAAAGGCCTGGATCTGAAAGAGCAAAGATCAGGTGGAAAGATGAGATTAGGTTGAAGCAAATAGGACAACTGGCACTTACTGGGCTTACCAAGCACATAGACACTGGACAGATGGACAGGTTGAGACTACCTAGCAGATGGCCAAATAAACTGCATGAAGGCAGATTGACAGACTGCCAAAAAGACAGCAAACTGGCTGACTGAGGTCCAAACACATAAAGCACATAAAAGAAATAGATTGCAAACATACAAAAAAGCACAAATAAACTACAACGTAGTGGTGAGCATGCAGACTTAATTACAGGAGTGACACAACAATGGCTGTGCTACTTGTGCGGCGGTGTACCTGGAAATCAGTGAAAGTTATGTGCCAGTTAGCAGATGTGTCAGTGTGGGAGCTGGGCACTAGTAGGGTGTCATATTTGTGCAGGCTGCTGACGTGCTGGCAATGGTAGGATGAAGTGGCAGGAGCGTAGACCTCACTGGCATTGAATGTAGCTTCCTGGGTCCAGTTATACTGGATGTGAACGCTATCCAGTGTGAACCAGTTTTGACCCGCTGCCTCATAAAAAGTGTTGGACATCTGAAGCCTGGTGGAGGACACCTTGCAGTTAGCCATACATGCATACCTTTACACTTAGAGAAAACATTCATGAGTGGCTTGCTTTTTACCTGATTACTAGACCTCGCAAGTCCTCCACATCACCAAATCTTAATGAAAGTCTGTGTATAATAAAATCAAACAAGATGTTTAAAACAAGTTTAAATTTAAACCTTTGTACAACCGCTTTTGTAAATTATAAAACTAAATACTTTATAAGACATATTTTTCTTTGTTCTTTGTTTCAGGGAAGGGTTAGGGTTTATTAAAAGGCTGCACTGCAGATGCAGAGATGTTTGTTGATAAAGCACAAGCAACAAGAAATTACTTCACTTTGACTGGTTCTTTTGGACTTACGTAGCTTTATCCTTGGTGCAGATGGAGCCCTTTGTGTCCACTGGTGGGTTGGAATTGAAGACTTTTTCAGTCAGATCAATAAATGTGTGGTTCCTGTAGCGGATTGCCAGGCGCTTGGCCTTAAAAAGAATGCAAGGCTTCCCATTGTAAGACACGCTGAGTGGGCCATAAGGCCCCATCAGAGACTGGAGAAGCTTCCTTTTACTGAGAGTCATCCCAGGCTGGTGCCATTTAAAAGGCTGCAAGCAAATAAAAGAAAGAAAAAAATCAGAATTCAGTGTGGAAATTGTAAAAACAAAACACTACAATAACTCTGTGTCCAATAAACTGGTAGAACAATTTTACCTTTATTTTACTGCCCTCTAGAGGATATATAACTCTCTCATTCAGATACAACCTATTCACTGGATTATTTTTTCACCTTCATGTTTTAATGCTGCAAGAGCTAATGCCTGTCTCCTACATTTAACCGAAACGTGATAGAACACACCCTTGACAGGTCTTGAGTCTATCACAAGGTTAACACACAGATGAAAAAGCAAGGTCAATTTTGAATCACCAATTAAGCTAACATGTTCGTTTTTGGACTATCAATCCATTCTCTTCCACTTATCCAGGGTTGGGTCGCGAGGGAGTCAAGAGGTCCAGATTTCCCTCTCCCCAACCACTTGGGCCAGCTCCTCCAGGAAAACCCCAAGGCGTTCCCTGGCCAGGCGAGAGGCATAATCCCTCCAATGTGTCCTGGATCTCCCTTTAGGTCTCCTCCCAGTTGGATGTGCGAGAAAACCCTCTCCAGAAAGGCGTCCAAGAGGCATCTTAATCAGATGCCCGAGCCACCTCAACTGGCTGCTCTCGATGTGAAGTGGCAGCGGATCTACTCAGAGCCCCTCCCGGATGACCAAGTTTCTCAGTTTATCTCTAAGGGAGAGCCCAGACACCCTGCGGACAAAACTCTTTTTGGCCGCTTGTATCCGCAATCTCGTTCCTTCGGTCACTACCCAAAGCTTGTGACCATAGGTGAAGGTAGGAATGATAAATGATAAATGACCTGCACTTGTATAGCGGCTCTCAGAGTAAGGACTCCAAAGAGCTTTACACTACAGTGTATCATTCATCCATTCACACACATTCACACACTGGTGGGGATGAGCTACGATGTAGCCACAGCTGCCCTGGGGCGCACTGACAGAGGCGAGGCTGCCGAGCACAGGCGCCACCGGACGCTCCGACCACCACCAGCAGGCAAGGTGGGTTAAGTGTCTTGCCCAAGGACACAACAGCAGAATTCTCTGTCCGGAGCCGGGATCGAACCTGCAACCTGATTACTGGACAACCCGCTCAACCTGTTGAGCTACTGCTGCCCCGATTTACGTAGATCGACTGGTAAATCGAGAGCTTCGCCTTCTGGGTCAACTATCTTTTCACCACGGCAGCAGGCAAGGTGGGTTAAGTGTCTTGCCCAAGGACACAACAGCAGAATTCTCTGTCCGGAGCCGGGATCGAACCTGAAACCTTCTGATTACTGGACAACCCGCTCAACCTGTTGAGCTACTGCTGCCCCGATTTACGTAGATCGACTGGTAAATCGAGAGCTTCGCCTTCTGGGTCAACTATCTTTTCACCACGGCAGACCGGTACAACGCTCGCATCACTGCAGATGCAGCACCAATCCACCTATCAACCTCGTGCTCCAGCTTTCCCTCACTTGTGACAAGACCCCGAGATACTTAAACTGCTCCACTTGGGCCAGGACCTTTTCCGATTGAGACCATGGTCTCGGATTTGGAGGAGCTGATTTCATCCCAGCTGCTTCACACTCAGCTTTGGACTGTACATCACCAGAATTTTAGGGTAGTACAACAAAACTTTTCACAGAAGAGCCAAGTACACCTCCCTTCTTTTGTTAAATCAGACATGATGTGAGTTTGATTAGTTGTCCAGCCTTCAGTCCTTCACTTTATTTTTAACTCTGATATTAAATTTGAAGACCCATTTCGAAAGAACAAAAAAAGCACTGATCTTGACATTTCTATTTGTGTGTTCATAAAATGTCAGCTGTGTGTAAAGTTCAGCGCTCCGGCCACTACCTGAATTTCAAATGAGGAAAGAGCTCAGAAACTCTTATAATTTGCATTTGATGGTGTGCAATCAGCAGAGAGAGGAAGAACATCCTGCAGCTTTCCAATCCATGTATTCAAAGGTTACATCTAACATGAGGCTACTGAGTTATATTACATGTTAAGGTATACTTACAGGAGTACTAATGGATGATCCTTTCTCTCTACTGAAAATCCCATAAATATGAGGTTTATAGTAATATTTCAAACAGTACAGTAGTGTAAAAACATAATCTCAATCTATATGAGGCAGAGATGGTTGAAAGCACGAGCTAATAAACCAAATTGTAGGGTCTTGTTGAATTTCCAGTCTCTGTGGTCTGGCGGGTAGGTGAATACAATGTTTTACCTCTGGTGAATATGAGACAAACATTATTCCTTCATCCAAGGTCATGCAGTGTGGCTGAGTGAGCATGCTCGATTATGCTTGTGTGTGCATGTGTGTGCGTGTGTGTGTGTGTGTGTGTGTACTGAAGACAGGTAGGCAGGAACACTGGGACATTACCTGCAGTATTCTCCTGAGTGGGTTTTCATCTTCAGGTGTCAAAAAGACCTCTTCACTTTCTAAACCATACTCTCCATCTTCACCTAAGAAAAACACATTTAAATCATAATGCATATGAAGCTGTTTGCTGAGGAGTATCTAGATTACAATAAAATCTTACAAAATGTTGAATGATTCCGAAAACAGCATACAAACTGTTAAATTGCATTGCATGCATGCAGAAAGAACAAAGAAAAACTGCATGCACCATACAGCTCAGCCTCGTATCTATTTCCAGGGGTTTGCGTCACCACACTGACTCATCAGCACTTTTGTTTTTGTGTGTATTTTTACTAGGGCCGGGACTTTAACGCGTTAATTATGATTAATTAATTAGAAAAAAATAACACGTTAAAAAAATTAACGCATTTAATTGCAGCTTGCATTTCAAGCTCGGCGGAACCTTTGTCATTGCACGACTTCCTCGTAGACTGAATATCACTGACGCACACAACAATGCACAGTGGCTAATGGCTACTAAAACGGAATAAAACAGAAAGAAGTTGCCTTGCTTGGACTGATGCAGGATTTAGGAAACCCGTCAGCTTCTTTTCTAAACTTGGAAGAAAAAAAACTTCCAGACAACAACGGAGTCTGTGTTGCGGACATTTTTCGGAGATCGTCTCTGCTGCAGCTGCCCGGTGGCAACGGGAACTTTACAAAAGTTGCGGTAAGCTATATTTTTAACATTTACGTAACATCTGTGCAGCGCTGAAAGCACCAGACAGAATAATTCTTTGCCCTAACAGTAGTTTATGAAAGTAGTCAGACAAACGAGAGGCACCTGGCTGCCGCTGGGAGAATGCTCCGTGTTCTCACTACTCTGTAAACAATCACAAGCAACGTGAAAGTTAAAGTTGAAAACAGAAGTTTAAGTTAAAACAGAAACACTCTGAAACTTTTCTGATGATTTTCTAAACAATTCTGTTGGGGAATTCTATGTTTCTGAGACGAGTCTCTGTCTAAACATCACATGCATTACTATCATTAAGCAGCGAGGTGTGTTGAAGCTGTCATCAGCTAAGGGGTGGATGCTTAAGTGCATCAGGGGCAGCGAGGAACGAGAAAGTTGTGATCACGCTGAAGATCACACCAGATTCGCTGCTGTAGGTGTGAATCTGCGGGTCTGCAGCATCCCCTTCTTAACGTGACATCAGGACTTCCCATGTAAGGAAGGTCCACTCACCTGTTCGTCAGATCATTTCCTCGCCATGATCTTTTATCATCCCATCAACCTCCAGTCATTCAACTGGAACCAGTTGGTGTTCCTGATCATTCTCAGAATATGCCATGCCTGCTCTGGTGTTAAAAGTTAGTACATTTAAGTCCTAGATCATATTTGTGCCTGTTCTACTGTCATTTTGAAGGATTATTATTAATGTTTTTACTACATTATGAGTATAAATGCTAACTATAAAAACTCCCAATTATACAAACAAGTGAAACTGGAAAAATTAGAATCTGGTGCAAAGTCAAATTTATTTCAGTAATTCAACTAGACAGAGAGACTATTTAAAGGCTCAGGAACCCTTTGCAGGTGTTTTCTATTTGTAATTATACATTTTAGTTGATTTGGGTTTTGTTTCATATACCACAGTGACATTTGAATAATTAAAATGCATTTTTTTATTAAAAGCTTTAGTTTACAGTAATAACCTTGTTTGATTCTCTGTTTCATAATTTTAATTAAAAGTTTTACTTTGAGAGCACATTTTCCTGAACGATTAAAATGCGATTAATTGAGATTAATTAATTACGAAGCCTGTAATTAATTAGATTAAATTTTTTAATCAAGTCTCAGCCCTAATTTTTACAAATACTGTTCATCTTGTTCCAGAAGAATGTTCACATAGATTGGACTTGTTTCTGTTTTTCTTTATGCGTGTCAAAGAACACAAACGTAGCCACACACCATGCAACAAGCAAACCTCACCACATAAATTGATTAAATATTGGTTAAAAATCTGTAGGAACAATGGTGTCCAGGGTTAAGAAGGAAAGATGTTTGTCATCGTCATGTCACGTTTCACAACAGATATTTTACTTACGGGATGCAATTCTTGTTGCTTGATGAGGGTTTTCTTTACTGTGGAGAAAACAGGAGAAAGACACAATCACACAGTGCGGACAAATCTTGACAGTTTTTTTTTTGTTTTTTTTTTTATGGAGGTTACTTTAAAGTGTACTGAGACTTAACCTTTAAAACAGTTATTTGTCAATAGCTACATGAAGCACGCAAGGGGAAAAACTTTTTTTGATTTGTTTGTATAAAACATCTTACAGAATTATTTTTCTGTGCTCAGTATTTATGTATCCATCCAACATCCATCCATCCATCCATCCATCCATCATCCATCCGTCCATCCATCCATTTTCCTCCACTTATCCAGGGTTGGGTCACGGGATCAGCAGCCTAAGCAGAGAGGCCCAGACTTCCCTCTCCCCACCCACTTGGGCCAGCTCTTCCAGGAGAATCCCAAGGCATTCCCTGGGCTTCTACTGAGCCCTCGAGGCTTGGCTGTAGATTACATAGGTTTTCTTTGATTCCAAATTTTATTAGTAAAGTTTTTTTAAACAAAAAATTGTAAGCTTGTGAATAGAAGTCAGCTAGTTTGAATCATAAAAATTATGAAAGAAATTTTTACAAATTCTCAACATCTGCTTGACAAAATGAACGTTGCCAATAAAGATGGTGACGGCCAAAGAAAAATTTATGGCTGCTTTGCGACAGACTTCTGGAATTAAGAGGTCAGTTTAAAGTGTAGAGAACTACAATTACTTTATTTTGGATTATTAACAAAAACATTTCACTGCAGGAAGATTTTCTTTCACCTAATGAAGTCTATTCAAATGTAACCTGATTAATTTGTCCTCCATGTTTAACACAAAATGTATGTATCTATAGGCATTTACAAATGAATTACAGACAGGACTGACAAAGATTATATTTATATACTTCCAGCCTCATTGAGGCAGTGCATGTAATAATAATGAAAATAACCAGTATACAATTTGTAAAAGGGGAAGAGATTAATGTGGGGGCTTTTGCAGTCTCCTAAATTTAATCTAAAACATAAAATGTCTATGACTCATCACAAAAAAAGAAAACTGTTAATGCAACGATAACTAGAGCTAATCTTGCTTCTGTGCTTGAACAGCAGGTATTAACACATAGTTTTGACTATGAAGGTTCAGAAAAGCATATGAATGTTTCCATTAAAACTATTACCTGTGATATTGGAAAGAATGTAATGTTTTGAAATACCAGTGCATGGACACTTGAAGACCAACTTAAAAAAAGATCTGTTTTTATCACAATTTAGTAAATTTAGTGTCATTTAGAAACTCTTCAGTTCATTGTTTTGTTTGTTTTTCAGCATCATGACTAATAAATCTGCCCTTTGATGCTGGATTGGCCCAAATTAAGCACAGGTGACACAGGACAAACCATTTCCTTGTTGTTCACATGTTTGTCCCAGCTGTCCCGCTCTATGTCTAAGACTAAACCCCATGTAGGATGGACTCTTTGAGGCTAATCTTAATCCTGCTTTAATTGTCTAACCACAGACGTATTGTGCCAATGAGCTTACTGGGCAGCCTTGACATGACCAGTTCTTCCAGTGGTTGTGATCCAGTGGTCAGTCCTGATCTGTCCTTTGTGATTATCTTCCTAATCTCAACACAACAGACAGTTATAATGAGCTTGTAAAAGGGAAACCTTAAGACCTGTGGGAGTGGGAGCAGCGATTAGCGCCTGTCGTTCATGTCACCAGGAATCAAATTCTTCTTATTGGTTCTGATAAACCGCAGCAACCCAAATTATCAGAGCGAAGCTGGACCGACCGGCGCCATACAAATGGAAGCTCACTGCTCCTCGGGGCTGGCTCAAATGCAGAGAAGAATCTCCCCATGACAGATCAATAAAGTAAAATTGTATTATTATTATTATTATTATTATTATTTATTTATTTATTTATTTATTATTATTATTATTATTATTACTTAGAAGCCAATTGATCTGTTTGTTTAAAAAAACTGCTTGCATCATGTTTTGTAGATTTGCAGTTCCAGTGCAATGTCATTTTCTAATCTGCTCTAGATTTTCCGCAATTATAAATACACAAATGCAATGAAATCCACTGATTTTGTGTTGGTAGCTGCAAGATTTGAGCAGGCTGCCAGAACATATCGGTGCTTGCAGCCTGCAGCCATTATCCGCCCGTATGGTGCAGTTTCCATCTGGGCAATTTTATGCTGTTTAGTGCCAGATGGATTTGGATTAGTGATAAGAACAGGCCAGGTCCATTTTAGCCCAAATATGGAGCGACGCTGGCAAGGTGAAGAGATTAAAGCAGGAGGTCAGAACCTGCAACAGTCTGGACTGTTCGAGTGCTAAGTAATAATGGTAACGCTTAAATCCTTGATGAATCAGGCCCTTGCTCGCTGAGCATGTGGACCTCATCTAAGGTAAATGAATTTGTGCCTTTTACATAAAAAGTTGTTATCAGTGCAAAAGGCTCTTTCAATGCTGTCTCAGATTTCCTGCTACACAGTGGCAAAGCAATTAGATGGCCCTTCACAGGAAATCAAAGATCTAAGAATTAGTCCTAAGCTTGTTTGGACAGGTAACAATGGCCGCATGGTGACGTCTGAGGAATGTGAATGAGTGAGTGCTCAGGTGGAAGGAGCCATCCTGTCATTCCCCACAAATAGGCTTTTCAGCCTACATTCCAGCGTGCATGTGGCCAACTTCGACGTCAGCACCGTGATCGGCTAAATCCCAGACACTGTGAAATGTGTCTGTCTATATGTGGGAGCACATGCTAATTCACATGTATTCCCTACATAACTTTAAGTAGAATTCCATGAGTAACAAAATAAGAGTTTATTTATTTGACCAATGCAAATATTTGTATTTTGCAGGCAGATGCTTGGCAAGCACAGATATTAAAACAAGCTGCCAAGTCCAGGAGCCCTTTGGCAGCTGGTGGTTGTGACTGAAACCTCAGCTGCACCGTGGATTCTTGGACACTCAGCCTGCTTCAAAGTCTGCACAAACAGCTACAAAAGCAAGTTGCTTTTTAAACTTTCTATCAGACAGAAATATTATACGAGTAACCAAATTGTAGAAGAACAAACGTTTCATTTTGTGTGTCTGTAAGGCCTCAGCTGGCTGTCGGTGACTGCGGGAGCGTGTATGACAGAGTGCGTACATGAGTGATAACCAAAGCTCAGACGTTTGTTCCTGTGCCAGTTTTGCGAGGTCAGCAAGCCAACGCTGTTGCAGCCTCATCATTGGTTCAGTCTGTCACACAGAGCTTGGGTGCTGAGCAGGTCCTTTACATGATCAAAGCAAAGCCAGAGCCACTCCTTGACTGCCGCCTGCTGCCACATACACCCATAAATATGTGCAAACATGCTCTGCATGCTGAAATAACAAACCAGAAACATCAAACGTTAACAGCATTGTGATGGATCATAGCAATGTGGCAGTTTTACTCAGTTAAATTTAGAGCTTGGTTTTAAATATTAACAGCGGGGCTTCTATTGTTATCTTGATCAATACGTTTTCACTGGACAACCTTCTTGAAGCGGATGGATAGCTGATCCCTCATCGGAGTCTGCATTGTGCACAGCTGAGCAGAGAAAATGTGTGGTGCCTGCTCCTAAAACTTGTAAACAAGTCCTGTCTGCCTCTGTAGCAAAGAGCGTGGAGCCACTGCATGCAGACATTCAGAGCGCCACGATCCATCCCGACCTCCAAATCCCACAGCAGGGATGTGATATCCGATGGGGTCAGGCTTTATTTTAACTGTGAGGTCTGATTGTTGAAATAAAGTAAGATCATTGTTAAATTTTGGGTTTTCTACCTGCATATCAGTAGCATATTGGACTATACTCATGTTTCCTTTTATTATGCCCACATGAAATCTCAAACCCAGCTTTGATAGTATTTCAGATTTATACAGAAGATACGTAGATCGAGCTGTTTTCTCATTATTATCACAATGTGAGTACATATGTTGACTGAATTAATCACCAGATAGTGGACATTCTTCTGATATGACTGGAATAGTACTTGTCTCAATCCTACAGTGGCCCTCCTATTAATTGATTAATTTGTACAGAATACCAAGGACCCAGTCGGAGCCTCGCTACCGCTGTCAGTGTAGCTTTGATTGCAGTGTCAAATTTGGCTTCAGGTCAGTCACTTGACTTTTAAATCTTTCTACACAACAGACATATTGTGCCAATGAGCTTACTGGGCATAAAAGGGTTGAGGTCAGTGCACCTGATCCAGAAGCTTAGCTCCTCCCATTATTGCTTGTTGTTAACTTGATCATTTTGGTTTGTTTGTTTTGGTTGGTTGAAGGAATCTAACATTGATCACTGCATTTGTTTTTTTCTCCAAGTGATATCATGTCTGGGTGGTATTAGAAGAAGCTATTAACTGATGAATCTCAAAGCATGGAATTTCACCACAACTTAAACCTTGAAGATTAAACATTATACCAAATATTTTGTCCCAGAGATGACATATTATGACTGATTTGAATATGCAGACAAATCAAAAACTGGCTTCTGGTCATTTTCTTTTCTAGTCTTACTTTAAATAGACATCGATGACCAATGTGCCTCACTAATTCCTGGCCTCTAATCCACGTCTATGTTTGACACAACAGCTTTTAGATGCTTGGTGCCGAAACAACCTGTCATATAAACTCGAACACATCTAATGATTCAGAACAACAAGACTACAAAAGAGGGAATTTACAAAAGCATATTTAATTTTAAATGACTGATTTGAATTCACAACATTTTTGGCTGAAAAGTCTGATTAACTTGGTATAAAAAACTGAATTATTGTGCTAACTGGTTTTAATGTAATCTTTGTTTACTTTTGAAATGCTCCTCAATCAAACAGCAGACACAAAATGGGGTCATACCTAAGTGACTTTAACTGTTTTTGAGCTTTAGTGGGACAGGTTCACTTAACTGGTTCTTCGCTGACATTCTAGTAGAATTAAGTATAATTACAAGTGTTTTTAGAAGTGTCTCTCACTTGGCCAGGGAACGCCTTGGGATTCTCCCGGAGGAGCTGGCCCAAGTGGCTGGGGAGAGGGAAGTCTGGGCCTCTCGCCTTAGGCTACTGCCCCCATGACCCGACTCCGGATAAGCTGATGAAAATGGATGGATGGATGGATGTGTCTTTAATTTGCTTAAAAACTACAAAGTGTGGTACTTTGCCTTTTCTGTTGTTGTTGCTGAAGATGATAAATAAAAAACAGCTTGATGTTTTGCTTTGAATATGTGCCTGTTGTTGACCATCAATCATCTTATTTTGAAATATAATATGCTGAACCTTTGTACAAAAACTGTAGTGTTGTTTTATTTCACCATGTGTTGTGATTTTTTCTTCATTTTTGCTTCACTTCTCAGACTTTTTAGTCTGATCAAATGTGAACATTGAATCATCATTTCCAAAGCCCATGACCCTCTCTTTACTTCATATTTTGTAGCACTAAACTCAATAAAAACAGAAAATCTTATTTTCTATTAGAACTAATGACTTAAACTTTGGATAGTCATTTTTCAGATTCAAACAAAGTAAAGGCATTAATCACAAATTGTGCTGCGATTCTGCAATTTTCTAACATTCCAACACTGTGGATAATGATGATGATGACATCATCTTACCACACTACTACAGAAAATGTGTCAGACTCTTTCCTGCTGCCCTGAGCCTTTAACATTGCAGCTTGTCTGATGATGAAGGCATATAAATTGTTTATGAATGACTTAAGTCAGATCTGATATTGCTGTGTTGTTCAATCATTAAAACTATCATGTTGCCAACTTATGTAGAAACTTTGATCCAAAAAAAAACCATTGTTTGAAAAATGTGTTTTTAAAAAAGGTTGATGTAAGAGTTTATACATTACAATATGTTAAACTTTTGCAAAACTCAGAATTGTTTCAAGATAAACTGCATTGAAGTCTGCGTTTGAAGTGCAACGTGCGTAGTGGATTGTGGGAGCCATCATGCATGGCAGCGTTTCAAGAGCCTTACGTGTATTTGGCACAGTTTGATATAGGTCTTTGCTGTGATGTCTCTGCAGGAACCTGGTGTTAAAGGCCTTGGCTGTCTGCTCTGTCCTGTCCCTGTCACACTGCTGTGGGTCTCAAATCTGTAGTCTACATCTGACCTGCAACAATGCATGTCTGTATGATTAACAGACCCTAACATATGCCATCCCCCTGCTCCTCTTTTTTCTACCTTCTCTCCTTTCTTTCCCCTGTACACCACTCCTGCAGGCCCACTTCTCCAGCCTTATTTAGCTTCTTATTGCTAGACCAGCACCACTGTACAGAGACAGTGGCCCCATCTGTGATCAATGAGCAGCATCTGATGCAGTCCCCTCTACTGAGATAAACAAAGCCTTGAAGCTGAGCCGTCTCTGACTCAGCAGCACCACCTGAATTCACCCAAGGTGAGTTGTGAGGAGAAGGAGAGGTGGCAATGGAAGGAAAAGAAAGCCCCCCTCTTCCTCAGAGAATACAAACACATCAGCATCTCAGCATCCCTGCGTGCATCTCCCTGTACCCCTCCCCCCTTATTCCCTGCACCCCTCTGCTGCTCAGAGCCTTTCAGAGGAATGGATTTACCTTCTGTCCAGGATCACAGGCACTTCGTCGTAGATAAGTCCCGGCTGAAATTCGTCATCAGCAAAGGAAAGCCCAGGCTGGCTGAGGGTGGACAGCAAGGCAAGGGAGCAGAGGAGGAATGCGTGTGCAGCCATTGAGACAATAAGAGGAGACTGCCACTGGTAGAGCGCCGCTTCATAATCTGCTCTCCAAGCAGTGCCTGAATCCCAGTTCTTCTGACTAACAGCCGCTGCAGCCAATCAGCAGCCCTCAAAGCTCATGAGCGTACGTCACAGTTTCTCCCTCCCTCCACCTCCAGACTTCTCCCTTTCTCGCCCCTATACTCCTCTTCTTTCTGTTATCCTCAGTCTGCTCACCCTCCCACATCCACTCCTGTCTGCGCTGCTCTCTGAGCTTTACTCCTGTTTCATACACACATAGCTGCAGGCATTCCCACACATAGACAACAGATCGTTCACTCTCATTAAAAATCTCATCATATCGGCACTAGCTTTGTGTGCTTGCAAAACTAGAGTGGACCGGTACAAATGCGCCCCTGTATGTCTGTAGAAAACCAGCAGGTAATGTCAAGGTCAGGTTTAGTAGGAGCAGGGGGCAGTATGTTGGTGACAGACATGTCTTTAGGTAGCCGGTGAGGGGGTGGGGGGGTGGGATGTAGAGCAATGACTGCATGACCTAGATCTCCACTGTGCTGCCACAGTAGCAGAATTATTTCACTTGATGTGTTGTGAGCACTGAGAAGGGCCAGCGGCTGAGGAAATTGTCCAGCGAGGCTGCAAATATGGATGACAGCAGAAGCTGAGCAGCCGCAGGACAAAAGATGAGAATGAGGGTCCGGCATTGCGACCCTGATGGATGATCCTCTTTCTCTCCTTGTTATTCAGCCTCCAAGCTGCCTTGGGTTGTTAATTTAGCCTCTCATTTGTAATTTCCACATCCGGTTACGTGAAGGTTTTCAGAGCAGAGAGTAGTTATATAACTAAATGTTGTGACCTACTATCATGGTAGACGCTCGCACAGATGTTTGGACTGCAGGGCAAAATAAAATAAAATCAACAACAAAATCCTGTTGAATTCTGTCAACATTTTTTGGAAGTTGCTTGTGTGCGCTCGCATGGATTTGTGCAAGCGTTCATGTACAGTATGTATGTATGTGTGAGTGCGTGAGTACGTGCGTGCGCGCGAGCGAGTGAGTGAGTATAGCTGTCTCATAGGCTCCAGAGTAACAGGAGGTGACTAAATGCTGCCTCAGCCATCTACGGTACGGCTGCCTGACACTTCAGCGGGCTAATTTGTCAGTCCTCCAGAAGAAAAGTGCAAACTTTACAGCATCATATGACACAAGGATGTGCCATGAGCTCAGAAGATGATAGTAAACCCCACTGTTGTCTCATCCTATCCTAATGGAGGGTAAGATGTGTGCCATGACAGAGACACTGTTTGCAAACCTGATGCAGCTATTTCAGTATCAATAATAATGAAATCCACATTTAAATATTTGCTATAAAATGTAATTATTTACCAGGATGGCTATGATTCTAGACTAGATTAAATATGCAACATTTATATCATTTACAAAAGTAATTAAGTAATATAAATTTAATATATGTCCCCTTTTCCACCACCACCCTGATTAGTCTCTTCTGGCTCTCGTCATAACTATTGTCAAAGTGTTACTGAATATTCTGATTATATTGTGTCATAAATTCTGCCATTCAGATGGGTAGCAAACAGCATCTAAGATTAATAGCTGCAACAGAGATATCATACTACATCCATGTGCCTAAACGCCTACAATAATCACATTTTGCTGTTGAGACGAAAGCTTTTAATTCACCACAGTCCTCCAGAGCATGTTGTGTTGATTATGGGATGTGGGGTAAGCTGTAATCTGCTGGTTCACTTCTTTCATAAGTTAGTGTTTTGCCCTCTCTTGGTGACTCATAGAGCATTTTAGATTATGAAACAGATCAAATTTGGAGCGGCGGGGGGTTACTGTCTATTTATAGGAAAGAGCTCCTATCCAAGTTTTTAATCCAGCTCTTTATGCCCACATGGAACATCTAGGACTGCAAAACACAGCGTGATGTAACTGTTTGTGCAGTTGAATTGCTCTGGAGCATGTGTTTCTGCACCTGGTCTCTGCAGTGGCAGCGCTAATTGAAATTCATTAAGATGCTTAGAGTCCTGCAGGAATTAGAATCCCTATATAAGTATATAGAACACACTGCATATGATGCATGAGTGTATGCCGATCTGCATGAATATTAAGCACAGAAAACAGAAAACAAGGGATGTTTTTGGTTTATGTTTTTATTGGTTTATATATTTGCTGCCTATCCTAGCGATGCCCACGTCTGTTTCCCTTTTCACTAACTAGCTCTGTACAAAATGACAAATGCACGTCTCTCACCTTCAAGATAATGCTGATAAATAAGGCAACATAAAGGAAGAATAAAGGACTAAATACTTCATGAGTGGTCATAGATCGATGAGTAAATACCCCAACTCAGCTGGTTTCACAGGAGCACTTCTAAAGAGAACATGGTTACAAGAAGATGAAGAAATTATCATGATTATGTTGTTACCATGAAAAAGCTGATCCATCTGACTGGCTGTGTATTCATCTACACATTATATAAGCCCACCACTTTTACAAAAACACCCTTTATAAAAAACTAACTTATTTCATAAATATAGACCAATCTGAAGTTAAGCACACAGTTTTCTGATTAATCTGCTGAGATTATATAATGTAAGCATTTCTGTGTCACTGTTACATACAGGACTTAATAAATGGAGGATATTTGTGAGCAATTATGTATTCATGTTGCATAACAGTAAGAAATTAGGCTTTTGTTCAGTTTTATTCCATCAACACAGTATCTTTGCACATCACTCTGTTTTAAAACAAAATTTTATTATAGACATAAAATAGCTTTATAGAACTAAATACATTCATAAAATATAGTTTAAGATTTGGGATTGTTCTACTCCTTTAAGCTGATGCCATACTGCGTAAATACGAAACCCTCCTGCTAGAGCCATGCAGGGATTTGATTGGCTGAAACCTGTGAATAGTGAATGATTAACATTCTTGTCACAACACTGCAGTTTTCATTCAGGCTCTGGCTTCTCTCTGCTTGGCGTTTCTTACCACATGAGGGCGCTCAGCTCTGCAGCGACATCTTCAGTCCTCCTTCAGTGATATGGGTTCAATTCATGAGGCACAATGTTAAGAAAAACAAATGTAGACATGAAAAACACACAAAAGGATTTCAGTCTGATCTAGAACACTTCAGAAGTCATCACAATTAACTATCCATGATACAATTGATAAGTCAATAAATAAAATACATTCAGTTTAGCCTAACTTGTGAGTGACCTGTTAGAGTGATGATGAGCACAACGCCACACCGTGGGTTACAGTACTTCATCTGAAACTATAATTTACATAGCAGCGAGAAATCCTAATGCCTAAAAGCGATCCGATTCAAGTTCCCACTTGACAACCTCTCCTGTTAAGAAATACAAGATGAACACTTAAAATTATGCATTCCCAAGAGTTTAGATTTAACAAAAGAAGGACAGAGAAAATATGGGATGGTGGGATTTGGGTTCATCTAACCTGCTGAAGAAAGCTCTGAATGGTCTCAGTTTGGAGAAACAGATTAGCTCTGACTGGAATGATGAACAAAGGCAGCCTAGCAAGCCATCCTAAATATACAGATATGGACTAAACTGTCGGTGCCCTTTGGTCAATGTAAGAAAAACCCACAATGGTTATGGTAATAACTTGAATCTGACAAAAGCAATAATAAACATTCTAAGAAATGTAAACAATGAAAGTCAGACGTTGCTTTTCAACCATGCTTCAGTGGAATTATTTTGAAAATTTAACTCAGGCCGGGACAAAAATGGTGGTACTCCTAAATTAATATTTTGTTGCACAACCTTTTGAGGCCATCACTGCAATCAAATGATTCCTATAACTGTCAATGAGACTTCTACACCTCTCTGCAGGTATTTTGGCCCATTGCTCGTGAGCAAACTGCTCCATTTGTCTCAGGTTTGAAGGGCACCTTCTCCAGTTGGCATGTTTCAGCTCCTTCCAAAGACGCTCAATAGAACTGAGGTCAGGGTTCATGGAAGGCCACTTTAGAAGTGTCCAATGCTTTCCTCTTAGCCATTTTTGGGTGTTTTTAGCTGCATGTTTTGGGAGACCAAGCTAGCCCAAGTCTAGATCTTTCAAATTTGATGCCAAAGCCATTTCAGATGAGTGCCATTCTTGAGCCAACGCATTCTTTGTAGTTTGTCTCTGTCACAACTCTGCTGCAAAGCCCACCAAACGTAATGTAAATGTTAATGCACAAAATGGTTTGGGCCAGTGGTAGATCTCCTGAGGCTACAACGGAGCATGGCTGGACCAATGTGCAGAGCAAAATCTTTTGCTACTGCTACGGTTGGTCTAGATTTGTAGACTAGAACAAAGGGCCACCTTGAAGAAAAATTCCAATCTCAAACTTTTCATAGCAACTCCTGCAAAGGCTAATTTTAAATCTTCATATCTGAGTAGACCTTAGCCCCAAGCTGCACTGGACGTGATGCAGCTGCTGCTGTTGATTCTCACACATAACAACAGAGTTCGACATAAATAACTGTGCACACCTGAATGACGTGTTTGAGTAACAGTTGTTTTAAAATAATCAAAGTTCACTTTGGTTGTAGACTATATGCTCATCAGTTCAGTCAGAATCCTTCTTCAATCTACACAACTCCATTAACTTGTAATGACTAGCTGGTATAGTGCCCGCCTATTAACAGAATATTAATGTACATAAGAACAATCTCAGTTTAGCTAAAGATTCTTCCAGAGCATGTCTTTGAAACCTTTGACAATGTCTCCTAGATTGGAGCAGTTTTACCCAGAATTGAAGCTTAATGGCAACAGCATCTGGATAAAGCGAGAAAGATGCTGAAAATTTGGTTAAAACAGAGCAAAGTACACAAGATAGGCTGGTGTGTGTGTTGTTTCTGAATAGCCATCTGTGTTTTTTACACATCGAGGTGCCAAAAGTAGAGTGTTATAAATCCTTTACTTTGAAAAATAAGTTTTAAAAGTTTTATGTTTTTTCAAAAAATACGGTGTTTGGACAGAGCAGTTGGGGTTAGGGATAGGGCTAATATAGGGCTTTCATCTGAGTTTCTCCAAACTGAGGTACTTCAAATAGCCAACTACAACTAGTAAGTTAAAATGTTTATAACCTTTCATCACAAACATCTGAACTATCACCTAAATTTGCTTTTGGCATCTGCAAGTACATAAGTCCTGATTAAACTTTGTTTCCATCCTTCATCCCTTCATGTTAAGATTTGCTTAAATGGAGTAAATAAAGACACAAAAAGAAGCAAATACTCACACTCACTGGCTGTGTGGGTAACAGGGAATGCTCTGTTGTAACCCTGACCACTTTAGATAATAAATACTTTCTTAAACTGGCAATTATTTTGTCTTTTTCATGTCTCATCAATCAGAAAGAAAATAATAACAAAAACTACAAACAATATGGAGCACAGGTTTGTCCGTGTATCAAGGTTATAGTCAAACTAGACAACAACTATCATGCCACGTCTACGTTCATCTGACAGTCACTTCTGTTGTGCGTTTGGATACACTTAGATTCCCATATAGTCTGATTGTCTATAAACTAAATGTCACAGAGAGCAAGAGAGAAAGAGAGAGGCACCAGACAGTAATGAAGAACAGTAAAATAAACCAGTACACAAATAAAAATCTCTCTAAATAGAAATATAAACTCTAGAATGGTCCAGTAACTATGGAGTCAGCCATTGATTGATCAATGCAAGTGAGTACAAAACAGCAATCCTGGGACAAATGATTTGTTCTGATCCAGGATCAGTTTTATCCTCCCAATACTTGTTTGTCCCACATGGTAGGAGAGGTAAAACTTACCCCAGGTCAGCGTTTAAAAGCAACTATATATCAGTCTATAAAATGCGCATAAAATTGAGAGAAGGCACAGAAACACAAACCCAGCAAGGTGGACGGACTGCAGCAGCTTGTTGTTGTTTTTCCTTTTCTTTTCTTTTTAGACCAGCTGGTTGTCGCCAATAGTTGCTGCCTTGTTTTCAGTGAGTTTGTTTTGAACCTCTACTTGGATACGACTGAGTTGTTTATCATCCTACTTCGGGTCTAGCTATAGACAAAAAGACACATTTTTGTCAGTCAGTAGCGTCACATTCAGTGCATCATAAACCGAAGAGAGGAGTGGTCCTGAGTCCGCCTCTGTAACAGGAACAGGCTTAAGTCTTCTATGACAGTGCATAACTACTCGTAACACAACAGACCTCAGCTGCGCTCCATCATTTCACATCAAAACGAAGGAGGAAGCCACTTTACGCTACTAATGCAAAACCTCTTATTTCATCACTCCAGTCTGCTTATGTGTTGTCTGATTCGCTGCCTTTGATTGGACAGGCTGTCTTGTTGCCATAGTGCTGTTTGTTGCCACCCTTTCCCCTTTCCTCTTTTCGTGTTTAACGGCGCCCCTGATATTGCTGGTGCTACGTGGGTGGACAGGCATTGTTTTCACCGCAACAGGAGCTTTGCCCAAAGTCAGACGTGGGTCCTCTCCAATGTTGATGGTCAGGTTGGTGTAGAGCGGCTCCAGCTCTTTGGAAAGCAACTCGTAGTTCAGTGAGTTGAGGCCATCCGAGTGCCAGTTCAGCCGGGTCCTTTTGAGTAGGTCAAATCTAGACAGATAAACAGCAAATAGTGGATTTACTGCTGGGCAAAGGTAGGTTGCTTTCTTGGGTCTCAAGATACTTGTTGTCTCATAAAGTTGTCTGCTATAGTGGTAGTAGGATGTGGAAAATTTTTTGTCTTATTTCCTGATATTTGGACATCTCCCCCCAGAACGGCAATGCAACTCTTCCACTGACTTGCAACCTGGATGTTTTATCGCCACAAATAGCACAAGGCTGGAATGACTTATGCTGTGTGGTGAAGTTGCTAATGCTAACGGTTAGCTTCTACTAGCCTAGACATCCGCTGCTGATTCCCGGATGTAAAAACAACAGCCTTCCTTATCGTGAGTCAAGATGGGTGAGTCCATGACTGTCAGTATGACATGGAACTGTCAGGCTTTTCAAAACCTCTTTTTTTCTCATTTTAACAATATTTCTTATACTTTTTAAAAATCTTTTTTATGTTTTAAATATTTTGTTCTTGTGAAGCACCTCATGACTTTTATGTTGGGAGGCACTATATAAAAGATATTTTCCTTTCTTTCTTTTCTAGATTTTTACCATCTATTTTCTATCAGAAGCTAATGCAGGAGATACTGTAGGACTATTTTCATGTTCAGCCTGCATGAAAAACTCAGTGACCAATTATAATCTGAAATAATAATTAACAAATGGGTTTTCTGTAAACCACACCTTTAAAGCAACAACAAGCACTTGTTATAGCATTGCTAATGCTCACTAAGCTAAGCTCTCTGTTACTGGGAGAGAAAAAAAGATGCTACACAGAATAAAGAACCATCCTAATAAAATGTCCCCAGCTGCAGTATGTGAAGCATTTGTCTTATAAGGGTGTGTTTTGCTGCCAAACTTTACAGATAAAGCAGTTCATATTAGAAGTTTTCTTTTTGATGTTCATGCTTTGGCATCTCTCACCACTAAAGAGCTTTATCAATCTTCACAGCTTTCTCTCTGCCTGAAAGCAAATCAGCACATTTTCTAAATTATCAGTTATTTTGTTCTAAACAGACTGTTTATGTATGCATAAATGTAGTTGAGGTAGCATGATATAATGTTATTCGAGTTTAAAAATGCTAAACTCAACAATTTAGTTATGTTTAAACAATCTTCAAAGATGAAACTCAGCAGATATAATAATAATAATAATAATAATAATAATAATAATTTTCATGTCTAGTGTTTCTATTTTGTCTACCTGCGTGGGTTTTGCTCATTGCCTTTGTCTCCTCTATGTTTGATCATCTTGTAATGACCAATGGCCACTGGGGGGCGCACAATCTTCATCCCGGACAGCCGAACTCTGAATTGGCAGAAAGAAACAGGAGTCAGAAGAGATTCTCAGACATAAATGTCCAGCAAAAATGGCAAAGTTCTCCTAAAACGACTAATTTTTTCTGTAATTAATTAAAGTGTTTTTTTCTGTTAAACAAAGATAGAAAACTACTCAATCTAAGAGTTTGTGAAGAGTTTTAGAGCAGATAAACAGAGACAATTGTTGCAGAGGAAAATAAAAACTAGTTTTTTGGACCGCAGGCAGTGGAAAACACTACAGTTCCCTTCCCCGTCTCTTGCGTCAATGCTGCTCCAGTTAACGGAATCAACACAAACATTCATTTCAATTTCCATGCACGTAAGAAAGAATTCTTCTTGCATGTCTTTAATTAGCAGAACATATTTATGTTTTCGTTTTCTTTTTGCATTTACCAACAACAACTAGAAGAGCTAGTGAGTGGAGAGAAGGGTACTGCAGCTTGAACACTGAAGCAATCCCATCTAAATCTGCAGACTAATCCATACAAACATACCCACTGAGCTCACTCCAATATTTAAAAAGCAGCAGCAATGAAGAGAGGCATGAGGATGAAAGATGGTGTTATAATGCACTAATAAAAATAACATAAAAGGATGAGTTAAATAAAATAGTCTATCAAAAGAAAAGATGAATGAAAAGAGTTAATTAAAGAGGAAGAAAGAGGGTGCACATCCTTCTCACCTGGCTGCGATGTCATCATCCTCTCCGCCCCAGCCCCAGTACTGGTTAGGAAAGCCATTCATCTTCATGTACTGATCTGGGGTCACTGCAGACACGCCACCGAAATACTGTGGGTATGGCAGCCTGGGAGGGACACATCACACACAGGGCTTAATATTTCATCTCAAGCAAAAAATCCATAAATCACATGCTGTTGGTTGTACCTGTATCTGAATTTATCCATGGCCACAGAGAGGTGAGTGGGGAACTGTTTGTGACAGGTGTAGGTGTTGTAGTCGTTCTCAGGCAGCAGGTCCACATCATGAAGGAAAATGCAGCTCCAATCGTTATCTCTGAGAGCCTCTCGCACCCCGACGTTCAGCAGCTTGGCCCGATTAAAAGTACCGTTACCCCACTGAAGCCAGGAACACAGACAGGTTTTGATGTCTACTCAATAAAAGTCACAGTATTGATTTATAAATATTTATTTCTAGTTTCTTACTTGTTTTTCCCCCCTTAAGATTACATTTTCTTAATGAATATCATCTAATGTCATCTTAAAGGCACACTTGGCAGTTTTATCACCCCCTGGCGTCTGTTTAATAGAACCAAAAGCAAAACTTATCTCCTCACTGTGTGGTCTGTTTTTAACACCTATTCTAACAGCTGAAATGTCTCCTCTGCCTTCATTAGTGTCTACAGGAACGGTTCATCACAAAATCAAACAGATCAGCTGTGTTCATGATCGAAAACATACAGGAAATGTGCTGGAATCAGACTGCAGCGCCAACAGGGACCAGACCAGTACTCTGAAGTTACAAGTGTGAAATTCTGGCTACAAGGGGCAGTTGGGGTCTGAGTGACTTTTCATTAGCCCTGTAAAGGGTCATTTTAGCACATATTGGCTCAAGAAAATGGCTTAAAATTATGAAAAAAGTACATAGTATGACTTCAAAGCAGCCAGTTACACAGGGCCCAACCTGCTGTACAATATAGATGCTGTAGTGGATCTGCTGCCGTTGCAGAAAGGGATGGAGGTGGTAGAGAAGGGCACGAAGGTGGCTTATTCGATTCCGATATGGTACCACTATTGCTGTGTGGTGGCGGGGTTCACAGTCTGGAGGCCGGTAGCGCCCGCCGGGCAACACTAAAGGGTTCCTCTGTCTGATCTCCTCCATGGACAGAGGAGAGGCGAGATGGACAGACACAGGTCCAACTGGAAAAGAAAGTAAAGTTGGACTCTGACCAGCTTAGTAGAAAACAGTAACATTCACTGTGTGTTTCACTTCCTCACCCAGCAGGGGTGATGGAATTGGACAGTCTCTCAGCAGCTGCCCTGAGGCAAGAAGTCCAGAGCTGGTGTTCCGAGGTGCAGGAGGCAGTGCTCCTAGATGACTGAGGTTGGTGTACACATCATGAGGTCGAGAATAGTCAAACTCAGGTTCTGTTGTGTGCACTAAGACCGACACCAGGCCTTTGAAGCCACCCAGAGAGAAGTAGAGCACAAAAGCAAACTGGAAGCCTACAAGCAAGGCTAGAGTGCAAGGAGAGTCTAAAGAACGGCCACAGCAAGCCATCATGAAGGAGATGGTGGAGATAACAGGAAATTCCAGGTGGGGGAGAGGGATAAAGGGGTGAAAGGAGAGAAGGGGGAGGATAAAGTATCAAGATGAGAAGGGAGATGAACGAGGAGAGGCAGAAGTAGAGAAAGGGGAGGTGGCAGCCTAGCGTGCAGGATTAGGCATGCAGGATGTGGGCATCCATCAGCTGGAAGGGCGAGTTGTGGTGAAGCTCAGCCGGCACCGCCATCACCTTTTGACCACAGAGGATACTGAGAGGAGACATATAAATAATAGATGAGTAAACGGTGCTGTTTATTATTTAAATCACCTTCCATTATAAACTAAAACCTCTCATTAACCTATTATTGATCATTGTTGCTGATAAATACTAAAAGACTACTTATTATTAAAAAATCTTATAAGGTATGATGTTGCATCACATCTGAGTTTCCTGCAACACCTGCATTTGTTTAAAAGTGTGGGACATTGAAAACTCTTTTTTTATGATTATTTCTGATTATAATCAGTCGCTCTAATAAGTTATTCATGCAGGCTGAACATGAAAAAGGTCTCCTACTCCTATCTCCTAAATTAGCTTCTGATCGGTGAAACTAGGATTTGAAAATCCTCACAGATTTACGTCACACTGTCACTTTAACATTCATGGACTCAGCCATCTTGGCTCTCGACGGGGAAGGCTGTTGTTGGTTTAATGTCCAGGAAACAGCAGAGACTGGTAGAAGCTAACGTTAGCATTAGCAGCTCCACCACACAGCAGAATTCCTCCAGGTTTTTTGTGGAGATAAAACATCACTGTCATTGTTAGAGTCAAGTTGCTGTCATTCCAATCCAAAGTGAGATGTCCAAATATCAGGAAATAAGACCCCAAAGCCTGCCATCTGAAGCTCAGCGACGATGTGGCTCACTTCTAGTTCCTGGAAATGGTGCACCAGTATACCCCCCCCCCCCCCCACCACCACCACCACCACCACCACCACCACCACCACCACCCACCTCACCCTCTGTGTACGACTTACAAGGCACTCATTTCTACTAGAGACCACTGCAAATGTATTGATTAAACGAGTGTCTCGCACCTTTAAAGGGGTCATAGTTAACAGAGAAAGTGCTTTTCATATTCTATTACACTCTTCAAATTTTAAAATGTAAATAAAATGCTCAGATAGTTTTAAGACAAGACTGAAATCCTTGTGTACGCATTTGGAGGATGCTTTCACAGAGAATGACTTACACAAAGGTGAGGCAGCACAGTGGGTGAAGTGTCTTGCCTAAGGGCACAATAGCAGAATGACTAGTGAGCCCACAAACACACAAAAAACCTTCATCGCCTCATCGTTTCTCATCTAGCAGCTCCAATTATTCATCCAGCAGCAGTGTCTCCATCAACTCTCCAGCTAGCAGACATGCATGGGAGACTTTAGTGAAATAAACCACTTTCATGCCCCCAAAAACAAGAACAAAAGACAGAAATAGGCCAAGGACCATCCACTGTGACTGAGGTTGAATGGCGTACTGACCTAATGTGCAGCTGCAACCACTGAGGAGTATCAGTCATGTCTCAGTCACCCAGCCTCAACACTGACCTGAAATAAAGCTTGACTAAAAGGTTTGGACCTTAAAAATGTCTTTAAAGTAAGAAGGGGGCTTTTAGCTAGCTCAGCGCTGCAGGATGGGGACAATCCTATCTGTGTGGAACCCTAAACTACTCCTAAAAATAGTCATTTATAATAAATCACAGAGTTTGCAGATTTTTTTGTGTTTACAACAAAAGTGATGCTGTTTTGCATGATTTAGCTCCGAAACCTGGGAAATATTGCTGCTTTTGAAACGTTACCTATTTGAGTAATTGTCTGATTAAATCCTATCCGGGTCTGGGAGGAAAACACTGTGCTTGTCCTCTTTCCTTTCTCCTTTCATTATCCAGCTCTCTGTAGTTAAAAAAAAACCGAGTGAGAATGCAAGGTTTGTCTCAGCAAGTCTTCTGGAAGCTAAAATAAGCTGAGCAATGGCAGGCAGCTACAAACAAATGTCATGTTTGCCTCTTTATTTAGAAGGGCTCGTTTTCAGCTGTGGCATCTGTAGAAGCCTGGCTGATGACTTCAAATCAAACTGTAAATCCAGTATCTGTTTACTGTAAGTCTGTTACTGGATCATAAAAGTGAGTTTCAGACCGGAAATGAGGCGCAACTTCAAAGCAGTAAAGAAATAAGTGATCATCAGCCTCCATCCAGATGATGTGCCCGTTTACCTCCACCATTTGGCCTTAGAAGAGGAGGAGAGTAAACATGACTGGAACATGGATGCAATGCTTCCCTTCTCCCAATATGTGTCCCAGTAGCTGCTTGTCTTTATGATTCGGCTTCAAACATTCTCTGCTGCACGAGCCGACTCACCAGCAGCGCACCCTCCGACTCATCAAATCCAGCCCCCGGCTTCCTTAGATCAACGACAGGCCGCTGCCGCCTAACTGTGCTCCAGATCCCGATTCTCTCCCCGGTGTTGCTCGCTTTTTCCAGTGTACGATCTCTCCTCCGAGGCCAGATGTCTCCTTCGCTGCTCAGATATCGCAGCAGAGGCGTTCACTTTACAGGAGCATCGCTGCATATCCGTCCAGCAGAGTCAAAACACGCAGCAAGTGCGCTCGGTGCCTGCTCTCAGTGCGCCTCAGAGAGGAGGCGCAGCGCGGTGACGCACAGAGCGCCACATTTAAAAGGTGCATAAATGACTTACCCCGAGGGTTTGATTTCTTTTTTACTTTAATATTGATGTTACTTGTTGTTTGAAAGCATTCAAACTATTGTTTTCCTGTTTCTCTTTATTCTTCTTCTTCTTCTTCTTCTTCTTCTTCTTCTGTACACTTTTTGAACCTCTTCTTCTCCTTCAAATTTTGAGCTATTTCAACAATTTTATATCAAAACGTTCAGCTCGTTAAGCTCTTTCCAGCTATTACTTTTGGCATTGATATCTTTCAAATTTTTCGAGTTATTAAGCTTTTTCTGCGAAAAATTTCACATTGAAATGAATGGGATTGGTCAATTTTCAGCAAATTCCTATCACTTTTTTGACCTCAAACTCTATAGGGTTCCTTTTAACTTAGAGAATTCATTCAAAGTTTATCAAACTCACAAGACTTTCCTGTTTAACATATTAAAGAGGCGTTTTGATATCTTTTACGGTTTTTCTAAAATCGCAGGTAGAAGTTGAGGTACGACTTGAAATTTTCAGAAAAATTCTGAAAAATTCACAAAAGTTATAATGGGGAAAGATAGGAGCAGTGACCCTCCCTTGCTCCATTTCCGGCATTCTCCTGAGAGAACTGTAAAGTGTTGAAAAGTAAAATGTAGGTAGATTTATCTCCACTACACACATGTAATTTTTATACATTTTGGGGGCCAAGGCAAAATGACCCCCCCCCCCCCCCCACCCACCCACCCACCCACACACACACACACACACACAAAATAACATACAAGAGAATTAAAAAGAATTTAAGGTGAAGCGCTTGCACATACTGTGTTATTGTGTGGTTTGTTCTGTGTGTAGAAACACGTTCAATTTGATTGACCGTCAGAAGGTGGGAAAGTGCCCCGCTCCCACCCAGCTCCCTGATTGGTTGAGAGAGGTCAGTCATCTTCTGGCTAAATGGAATTACACACCCACACATGTGAGACATCAAATCGATCGGCTAGGCCTAAGGAATCCATCCATTCATCCATCCAACCAACCAACACACCAAACAACCATCCATCCATCCATCCAACCAACCAACACACCAACCAACCAACCAACCAGCTGTATACACTTAAAACTCTATACACTTACAACTAGCAGCATAGCTGACATTTTAACACTAGTCAGAAGGCAGGAACCGCCCCCTCCTCCTTCATTGCTCTCTCATTGGCTGAGAGTTTTCAATCGTCTTCTGCCTAAAAGGAAATGTGCACCCATACGTATGGTACATCAATTCAACCTGCTTGGTCCCAGGAGTCTTGTATTAACTTGATATTGTGCTCTGCGTTTCCATGGCAACATGCTTAGCAACAACATTTAACAACATTTTAGACACAACTGTATCAACATACTTTAATATAGAAATGTTATTCAAAGTTTAAATGACTCATGTGTTATTGTACATAGCTTTATTAATGCAGACTTCTGTCATCTGTTACCATGGCAACACAAGGAACTACAAATCACTTTAACCAAGTCTCATAGGAATGAATATAAAAAGAAGAATATTGAGCCATTAACAGACTCCTGTTTTTGAATTGTTTGTACTTAAAACTAGAAATAAGTTCAATTTGATTGACCGTCAGAAGGTGGGAAAGTGCCCCGCTCCCTCCCAGCTCCCTTTTTGGTTGAGAGAGGTCAATCGTCTTCTGGCTACATGGAATTACACACCCACGCATGTGAGACATCAAATTGATCGGCTTGGCCTAAGGAATCCATCCATCTACATATAAATCCATACATGCTTCTATCTATCCATCCATCCATCCAATAAACCATCTAACATCCATCCAAAAATCCATCCGTTATTTCATTCATCCAACTCTTCATCCATCCCATATCAAATCTGAACATATGTTCGTCTATCAGTTTCAGATATCAGCAAATATTTCTAAATTCACAGTCCAGCCAATTGTAAAAATGTACCAGTTAAACTATTCTCATTCAAATGCCAGCTGTTTAACGTTTCAAATTTTGAGTTTTTGATAAATGTTCAAAGATTACATTTGTCTGCTGTTTGGCATTTTGATCCATTCTTCGCCTATATTCTGAGCTACATTACGCTTGTTGGTGATTTTTGCTGCTACATCTTTAAATACATTCAGCTCATTTTGACAGTTCTGCTTTGTTTCAGCTTCAGCTCAGCTGTTCAGCGGCTTCAGCTTACAGTTTCAGCTATCCAGCATTCAAACAGCATTTGTGCAACAAATGCAATTTTTCTAGTTGTTTGAATGCTGGTTTGAATGCTGGTAAGCATTCAAACTATTGTTTTCCTGTTTATCTTTATTCTTCTGCTTCTTCTTATTCTGCTTCCGTACACTTTTTGAACCTCTTCTTCTCCTTCAAATTTTGAGCGATTTCAACAATTTTATATCAAAACGTTCAGCTCGTTAAGCTCTTTCCGGCTATTACTTTTGGCATTGATATCTTTCAAATTTTTCGAGTTATTAAGCTTTTTCTGTGGAAAATTTCCCATTGAAATGAATGGCTTTGGTCAATTTTCAGCAAATTCCTATCACTTTTTTTACCTCAAACTATATAGGGTTCCTTTTAACTCAGAGACTTCATTCAAAGTTTAACAAACTTCCAAGACTTTCCTGTTTAACATATTAAAGAGGCTTTTTGATATCGTTTATGGTTTTTCTAAAATCACAGGTAGAAGTTGAGGTACGACTTGAAATTTTCAGAAAAATTCACAAAAGTTATAATGGGGAAAGATAGGAGCAGTGACCCTCCCTTGCTCCATTTCCGGCATTCTCCTGAGAGAACCGTAGGTCCGATTGAAATGAGACACATGCTGGCTTACAGCTAACGAAGATAGCTTCGTTTTGAGCTTTAATTCATGACTGTACTCCAAACATTGTGGTCATACGGTTCATTTGTTTGAGAAAATTCAATTTTAAAAAAATGTCTCTGCTCACTCTAACTTAAGAATTCCGCACTGTAACTTTTGAACTTCACATCTTCTGTAAACAACTCTTTACTACGCCCAGTCCGTTTGGACTACCGAAACAAATTATAACTCAAAAAGTAGGAATTTTTGTCAGCTTTTCAGAATGGGTTTCATTTTATCTGTAAGTGTTACCGTTCATTAGCTACAAGCCTCAGAAGGAGGAGAGAGCCAGATTCTCGCTCATTGAAACCCATGTTAAAGGAAGAGAGATTTTCTCCTCAGTTCGGCTTCACACAGCTAAAAGTTTCTCGTCATAGCATCTAGACAATTCATGGTAGGCACATAAAAATCGGCACAGATGATCATCAAAGTCTTCTGCCACTCACGCTTTTTGAATTTTTCAAATCGGTGCAGTACTTTTCGAATGGTGATGAGAAGTTTGACAGGTCCAATTTCACTTCTGAAGGACAGATTTCAAGGGTTCTCTCGTTAACAGGAGCATAGGCGGAGATCCCAGGGGGGACGGGGGGGAAGCGTCCCCCCCCCCACACACACACACAAAGTTGTCGTCCCCCCGTCCCCCCCTCAAAAGTTATTGTAAATGTATAAATGCTATCAGTAAACCTGTATTGTCTTCTAAAACCACAACGTAAAAGTTAGTCTGCAACTACAAAACAATGTGTTTTTAATTGTTGAGAAATTATAGTCCATCCCCCCCAATTCCTCAAGTTGGTACGGTCGGTCCAAACGCGCTGTTTCCAACGGGCGGGGCTGCCGGCTTTGCCTCGCTCACAGCTTCACAGCAGCCCGCAGGCTCACAGGAAGCGGGAATCAAAAAGCCAGCGGTTTCCAGCAGTAAGTCAATTATCTCACGCTTGTTCTACAAACTTAAATATGTATGTCAAATGTGGTCATAAATGATGCAGGAAGATGAGAGACACAGGACAGGAAAATAGTTCAATAAAAACAAGAAAACAAAACAAAGTGTTGAAAAGTAAAATGTAGGTAGATTTATCTCCACTACACACATGTAATTTTTATACATTTGATACAATTCAGATCACCTTCAAAACTCAGTCACACACCCAGGGCCGTTTCAAGACATTTTGGGGGCCAAGGCAAAATGACCCCCCCCCCCACCCCCCCACCCACCCACCCCCGACACACACACACACACAAAATAACATACAAGAGAATTAAAGAGAATTTAAGGTGAAGCGCTTGCACATACTGTGTTATTGTATGGTTTGTTCTGTGTGTAGAAACACGTTCAATTTGATTGACCGTCAGAAGGTGGGAAAGTGCCCCGCTCCCACCCAGCCCCCTGATTGGTTGAGAGAGGTCAATCATCTTCTGGCTAAATGGAATTACACACCCACACATGTGAGACATCAAATCGATCGGCTAGGCCTAAGGAATCCATCCATCCATCCATCCATCCATCCAACCAACCAACACACCAAACAACCATCCATCCATCCAACCAACCAACACACCAACCAACCAGCTCTATACACTTAAAACTCTATACACTTAAAACTAGCAGCATAGCTGACATTTTAACACTAGTCAGATGGCAGGAACCATCCCCTCCTCCTTCGTTGCTCTCTCATTGGCTGAGAGTTTTCAATCGTCTTCTGTCTAAAAAGAAATGTGCACCCACACGTATGGTACATCAATTCAACCTGCTTGGTCCCAGGAGTCTTGTATTAACTTGATATTGTGTTCTGCGTTACCATGGCAACGTGCTTAGCAACAACATTTAACAACATTTTAGACACAACTGTATCGACATACTTTAATATAGAAATGTTATTCAAAGTTTAAATGAGTCATGTGTTATTGTACATAGCTTTATTAATGCAGACTTCTGTCATCTGTTACCATGGCAACATTGAGCCATTAACAGACTCCTGTTTTTGAACTGTTTGTACTTAAAACTAGAAATAAGTTCAATTTGATTGACCGTCAGAAGGTGGGAAAGTGCCCCGCTCCCTCCCAGCTCCCTTATTGGTTGAGAGAGGTCAATCATCTTCTGGCTAGATGGAATTACACACCCACGCATGTGAGACATCAAATTGATCAGCTTGGCCTAAGGAATCCATCCATCTATATATAAATCCATACATACTTCTATCTATCCATCCATCCATCCATCCATCCATCCATCCATCCATCCATCCAATAAACCATCTAACATCCATCCAACAATCCATCCATTATTTCATTCATCCAACCCTTCATCCATCCCATATCAAATCTGAACATATGTTAATCTATCAGTTTCAGATATCAGCAAATATTTCTAAATTCACAGTCCAGCCAATTGTAAAAATGTACCCGTTAAACTATTCTCATTCAAATGCCAGCTGTTTAACATTTCAAATTTCGAGTTTTTAATAAATGTTCAAAGATTAAAATTGTCTGCTGTTTAGCATTTTTATCCATTCTTCACCTATATTCTGAGCTTTATTACACTTGTTGGTGATTTTTGCTTCTAAATCTTTAAATACATTCAGCTCATTTTGACAGTTCTGCTTTGTTTCAGCTTCAGTTGAGCTGTTCGGCAGCTTCAGCTTACAGTTTCAGCTATCCAGCATTCAAACAGCATTTGTGCAACAAATGCAATTTTTCTAGTTTATCATGAGGTTCTAGAAGTTCTTACAGCCGCCCCTTCGTCCTAAAAATGTTTGATCGTTTTAAAAAATAATAATTTATCTCATAATTAAATAACTACTGATAACCTTAAAAAGTTGGGGTTTGGAGGACCCTAACCTAATTACTATAATAATAATAATAATAATAATAATAATAATAATAATAATAAGTTTGGGATCTCAGATAATCTTCAGAAATCCAAAAAATGTGAACAAAGTAATTTCTAAAATACATTTTTTATATACTAACTGAAAGAATTGCTGCCATAAGCAATGCTAATTTATTTGCATAATAGCTGAATTGATTATTTCTGGGATTGTTACTGTAATTTTCTGTGTCTGGAGCAAAAATGTTGCAATTTATCAAACTCATTAACTGTACGTTTTATAAATGTCTTACTCTGTTGGAACAAGTGGTTTAATTAAACAACAAATTTGACCTAATTCAAAGAATTGCTTTTACTTTTGGATACAAAATGTGCATATATTCTTATTTTTGAGTTTACAATGTTTAAGCGCCATTACTGTATCTAAAAAGAAATGTACAAAGAAGGCACATGAGAAGATAATTGCTGTAAATGATTCTATTTCTGCATCATAATTAAGTAAATTTGTGTTCACATAAATGTGATAAATAACTGGTCTTCTAACATTGTTATTACAGGGCAGATAATAATACACTCAAATTCATATTATAACAAAATAATGTAAATGGATTCAGGAGTGATAATAAGTGATTGTTCTACTTTATATCCCAGCAGTACAGCATGAATATTTAACTTAGATGTGACAGCAATGTGCGTGTTTATTTATTTATGTATCTAGGTTTACTTCATTTAAAATTCACTCACAATCAGTTTTTCTGTTTTGTTTTTTTCTTTATTTCTCACAGAGCTTCTAACACGGTGGGTGTTGGCTTTTCTCTTTACTGAATGCAGCAGGCCCAAAAAAAGTCTTTATTCACATGCAGCAGTAAGTTTTCAGGTTACAGAGACATAATACGAATGGCTACAGCTGTAAACAGGCCACATCCCACCCCATACCCCCCCCCCCCCTCCCAAAGCAGAAAAAAGCAGGACAGAAAACTGTGCAAAACAATGCATGAACACTACTATTGTATGTTGCATGGTGTAAACACACCAAGCAGGTGTGTTTACTCAGTCTGGAGCAAACCCCCACCAGCTCAGAGTCCTCCTAAGGAATACTGTAGTTAAGTATCACTGATAATCAAGAACAATGCAGACTAAACTCAAAATCAAAAATGAAAAACAAAAGTATTTTCTGCCTCATTTAAAGGACACGCCTTCTCCTTTTTTCATTTACTAACTAAACATTTATCTTTTTGTGTCTGAGGAAAATCACATTCTGTGATTAAGTGTTTCACGATCCCAGACTTCAGGTTTTCAGCTCAGTGAAACAGGAAGAAAAGATGTTATGATCAAATCAGCACACAAACACACACAGGACGTCATAAAGCACCTTTTATGTGTATAAAAACATCCTAAAATGCATTGCTTTCTATAATCACTAATCATTTGAACTAGAAAGATTTTAAAAAAGGATGACCTCTATTACAAGGACAACTGTGGTGAAAAACTGGAATGAAATGCTTCACAAGTTTTCAATATTTCATGAGTTGGTGGGTAAAGAAACTCACCAAACAAGCTACTCTCTTTAATCAGTTTCAGATGAAAAAAACCTTCATTTTTAAAAGCACAAACAGGCACCGAACAGGTTCTGGATCTCAGCTCATTTCAAGTTAAGGGACAATTTTTCACTCATTTTTAAAACAACTTTATTGTCCGTCTTCCTTATCACACTCCCCCTCCACAAATATAACAATAATGAAAATATCATATAAACTCCCTTCCTGCTGTGTGTCAAGTTTTATTAAATTATTTTCTTTTTCCTTATCACCTTTCCCTCATTCTGTTTATTTTAATGCTCAGCATCTCCTTGTTTTTATTTCTTGTAGTTTCCAAACTGAATGGCAAACCGGTCGCCCACGCAGCGAAACGTCGCCGGCTGCACCTCCCAGTAGTTGACAGGGTTTTCAAACAGGCTGATGCCGTTATAGAATGCCTTCTTCATGCCAAATCCACGAGGGCAGAAGTCATCCACACCCACCTGGCTGATGTTGTTGGAGTGGAGGTACACCACCTGCATAAAAACAAAATGTTACGAAGGGTCTGGATACTCAAAACTGCTTAAAAATGAAGCAAAGGTTAAACTAGCCTGCAGGTATTTCATGTTTGGAAGGTCCTGGGGAACGTGTGTGAGGCGGTTGTTGTCCAGGTGCAGCTCTCGCAGCCTGGGCAGATATAACAGGCTGCTTTGCTCTATGTTACGGATGTGGTTGAAACCAAGACCCAATCTGGAGAAAACAAGACAAGAAGAAAGTACTTGGAGTGTGCTCGTATAATAATTATGGTTAAAATAAAAGTTAAGGCTGCTGCTCGTGACCCATTAGTATCATCAGCCAAAAGTCTGTCCAAGAGGAGGGTGATGAGAAGTAGAAAAGAACAAAACATGCATCATGCAAAAAAACTGTTTATTACATTGAGAGAATTGGAATAATTTCCTGGTTGATAAATATATACATTTTATAACATTTAAAGCCAAACTATGCAACCTTTTCATGTTTTAAGTTATTTTCTTTGGCCAGTATTTGCTACAGTGACCCTTTACAGGCAGAGTCCCACTGCCTTCTGTGGCCAGAATATGCACAGTCCGTTTCCCGTTGGACTTGGTAAGCTGACATGTTAGTGCACTGCCGTCTGGTTCCAGCACGCTTCCTGCATGTTTTAGACCATGAACACAGATGATTTGTTTGATTTAGTGATAAATCACCCTTGTAGAAATGAATGAAGGCTGAGGAGACATTTCAGCAGTTAGATTAAGGTGTTAAAAAGACAAACTCACAGCGAGGAGATAAGTTTCACTTTTGGTTTGACTAATGAACAGTAGGGGGTGCTAAAAGCCAGCTAAAATGGCTTAGTATCCCTTTAAGGGTCCTTTTTTTTCCTTGTTTTGGAGAGGGAATATACAGTGGAAGTCAATTAATTTGGCTGTGTGTATTTTGTAATTTTTAATTCTTAAACTATAACGACTATATAAGAGGTTTGTTTGCAGAACTTTGGAAAAATAATCTCAATTTTTTTTCATCGAGGAGGTCACAATGTGATGGAAATCTGGAAGAGGTATTGTCCTCAAAGAAAATTTTGTACACATTTCAACTTATTAAAAGGAATATTTGACATGTGAGAAGAATAGTCTCTAATAATTAAAGGTGCATTAAGTAAAAAATACATCTTGTGGTCAGGTTTGGGTATTGCATGCCATGTATCAAAACAAACATTAGTTTCATGGCGGTTGCCAGTTAGAGATCAGCACCAGAAGATTCTAGATGATGAGCAAAGACAAGTAAGTAAATAAATACATTTTATTGTAATATTCAGTTAATGGTAATAGAAACAGTAACTTGAGGTTTTTTTTAGAGATGACTATTTGTTTCTAATGCCTGTTTTAGAGAACAATGCCACCAATTTGCTCTTATGAAGAGAAAATCCTGGAGCTCTACATCACTCCGGTTTATCATCTTAGCTGGTTCTGTTAAATAAGCAAAACTTACAACCCATTTTTACTTTCATTTTTAATATAGTAGCCAGCCGGAGCTTGACAATAACTCCCCACGTGATCATGACACCTCCCTCTGTTGCACCATGGCGTAACATGCATTCACAAGTCCAGCGTTGCAGTAATATAACCAAGCGTGGCGGCACGAATGCCGCAAAATCCCATTCCAAAAATTTCATGCTGCCACGACACGTTCATAAGACCCACCACGGTGGCAGTACTACACTGATTTGCCAGCATGGTGTGTCTTCTAAAAAGGGCTTAATTCACCATTAGCATTATTAGCTCAACATTAGCCTCCATCCTGCTTTACTCAATATTAGCATAGAACAAAAGGATGTCGAGAAAAAACGTCTGGTGCTCTTTGCTGGCCGGTGTCAAATTACAAATGCCGGTGCAGTGTTTATGTTGAAGAATTGGCAACTTTTTGACACACATTTGCTCAGGAACGAGGAAGTACGGAGTCAGAACAGATTGTAAGCACTGACCATGTCCCTTTTTTGGCTTTTTTAAAAGGACAAACATTGGCCTCCATCCAGCCAGCTGAGAAGGAAATCTGTTTCAATGCAACCTTCCATCAACCATGACTGAGACATGAGACTTTAGACTGTTTTGTGATCAATTCATTGTAAAATTCTCACATGTTGTACCTTTAAACTTTTTTTAACATCCAAAGTAAAACAAAGACAAAAATAGTAGATATTGACAGAGAATGATAGGAAACTCATTAAAAGATATTGCTAATATTTGTATTTAGAAAATAAAATTGTGCCTTATAAATCGTCCTTTGCTGCATTTAGTTTATTTTTGATTTTGCAAACTGTCACCATGAATATTCCCACCTCTCTATGGTTTTAAACTCTCCCTAAAATCAGCTACAAAAAACAACAGGAGAGCGTGTCACCAAACCACATCACAGCATTTCATTAAGACACAGAAAACACATTCCTTATAATTGACACAGCAGACTGAATGTACTGTAATTGTTCTCTAGTATGCCTGCTAAGGCTTCTAGGGTGCAACAGTGTTGTGTTTAGGCCTAAAACCAACCTGTAGAGGTTCTTGTAGCGGCTAAGGTCCTCCAGTTCCACAGCCTGGATCTGATTGTGGTCCAGATGGAGCTCGTGTAGACTATCTGGGAGATCTAAAAGCCACACGTTAAACCTGTAAGTCTTCATTTCAGGAAGAAATGTTTAAAATAGTTCAAAATTGTTCAAGTTTTCATTATAAAAATGACATTTTATCTAAAAAGAACATTTTGTGAAATATATTACGCAGACATTCCACACTTATCTAAAAAGTAAAAAGGAAAAAAATATTTTTACCTTTTGGAACTCCAGTTAGTTTGGCGTCTGATATGCGTAGAAAATTCAGTCTCAGTCCTTTAAAAGCTCCTGGCTCAAAACCGCTGTTCTGGATGGGGTTAGCTCCCATTTCTGTAAGAAAATTAGAGTATTTGTGGCATCAAACAAACTTTATTCCTTTTAATTTGCTAAATCTAGTGCTTTACAGTGGCATAGGCGAGTACCACAGATTATGGCCCAGGTTGTAAAAGTCATCAGCAACTCTAACCTATGCAGTTCATGTTGCCCAGTCCAGAGAAGGCTCCAGCTGCCACCTTCTTGATGCGGTTCTCGTGGATCCTCAGCTCCACCAGGGAGGCAGGCAGATTTTTGGGGATGGTGGACATCAGATTCTTTGAAAAGTAAAGCTTCTGCATGCGCTTCAAAGGGGCGAATGTTTTAGGGTGGACTTTGGAAATCTTGTTGTTCCTCACAGACAGGGCCTAAAAAACATACCAACCAAGGAGAAAAGGCTTCTTATCAGGTTTCTGATTCATGTGAGAACGTGGGCAGCCGGAAGAGGGGGAAAAAAAGAAATAAAAAAATGTGTGCACAAAAATCGGTTTATGTAGCCTTTGCTTCTACTTCTGTAAACTAATATGCTATAAGACAGTTGATTAGGCTTTAAAAGCAACCTTTAATACAATTAAACTCTTCAGAAGAATGCTAAGATGGAAGAAAGAAGAAGAAATTAATGTAGATGACACTGCTACTCCACATCACTGAAGCCAAATAAAAGCTGCAGCTGCACATCTTTGAGAGACATTAAAGTGGCAATGAGTAGTTTTACCTTTAATGTTTGGAAATATCCATCAAAACGTTGAAAAGGAATAAACTGATGCCCAGTCATAACATATAACCATAAAAATCAGATCTAAAGTACATAGGGCACAGGTCTAGTGTATTTGGGGGACACCGTATTAGATACCGTGTTTCCTTCTGGGTGGCTCGGGGTCCTGTGCCTATCGATGATGTTCGTTGACTAGACGACTGGCAGGATGTACGACTTACGGAAGTTACGTTACCACGTTCAAAAACATTTAGGCAGTAAGAAACACAAATTTAATAGCAAGGCTGCTAAACTTTTTCCAAAACACACGTGAAAGAACAGAATCGAAAAAGAGATGCTATGTATTTTGGCCAATCAGAGCCTAAGTGTAGGAAACTACACGCTGTCATTTTAAGTTAACGATTAGCAATAACGATTTGTGTCTTACGTAAAGGTTGGTAAGGCCTCTGAAGTCATTCTCCTTAAGCTCTGTGATACGGTTGTTCTGCAGATCCAGGAATTTGGTGTCAGAGGGAATATTCTTCGGCACCTCCGTCAAACCTGGAAACATGGCAAGCCAAAATAAAGTCGGGAGTCATCCTCTATTAAAAGCTTCCTTGGGTGACCATCAACCAACACCCTAAAACCAGTTTGTTGCTCTTAGGATGTCTTTCTCAGACACAGACTTTGGAAAATAAATAGTCACACCAATCCCACTCCAGCGCAGTCCCAAATGAGCACTTTGGTGTTCCTGAGTTATTATTTTAATGAAAAGTGGACACAAACACGGAGGTCATGCATAGACGTCAGTGCAGCAGTAGCATTAGGGGACACAAGCACACATGGAAGCATTGATTTCCCTCGCACCAGATGGAAGAACCAGATGTTTTCCATCTGGTTTCCATTTGACAGAAGCCACTAAGGATAATACTTAAATACCATCAGCAAAGTCACACATAAAAAAATCAGGAGCTGGGTGCAACCCCAGCACATTAAAAAGAAATACAAGCTGTGTGTGTTTATGTGTGAGTGGTGAGGTTGCTTGAGGACGTTTTCATTTTCTTCTGTAAGAGTCCCTAAAAAAAGGATAAAATAGTTGCATTTTTCCTTCTTGGAATATTCATATTCAGCTATAAATGAATGCATGCCAAGGATAGACTGAAATAAGCTGGCAGACAGGTGGACTTTAGAAATACACCTGCATTAGTCCACCCATCAACTTCCAGTAGTGACCAGTGGTCATTACGCTGACCACATCCATCACAGGGAAGACTGCATCAGCTGTGCTCACAGGATGTGTGAGTGAGTACCGACCAGGACAAGAAGCATGATGCAACAAGACCCACTGGGGAGAGTGGCAGCCGTCCGACTGGGATCCAGTCAGCTGAGGGCCACATTTGACTAACAGGAGTCTGCCCAGAACTGACCAGCTGCAGTTTAACTTTAGATGTGTGGCTTTAGCAGTGCCGTACCACACCCTCTGTGACACCACACAGGACCAAACCATCAGCAGCTTCTTTCTGTTGAAACCACGCAGCACTGTTAGAGCTGGTGCCGTGTGGCTTCCTCCTGGAAATGATCAAGCTTTTGGCTGCCGAGACCGAATGAAATCCTTAGAAGCTGTGGGGAATGATAGTTCCCAGGGCTTGGTCTGCAGCAAAATGGGAAAGAATCACAAAAAGATATAATAATGAACATTAAATGTTCTTTTTATTCTTTTTCTAAATGACTCGCAAAGTGAAATGATTCCGTTTGTGTGTCCAGTGCATTTTCTGTGTTTTGTCAATTAGGGATTCAGATTCAGTAACCAACATTCCAGGAAAGGAATATTTTTATAAGCTATTACAGAGTTTATTTAAACTAAAACCATCCAAATCTTCTTTTTAGGGTCCCTTCCCAGCTAAAGTAGCTTATAGTGAATGAAAGTGGAGATTTATTTTAAAACAGCAGCTTTTTGTTGGAAGTAAATCTGGTTTTAATTTTTAAAAAGTCGTTTGTAGAGCAGACACAACTCATCCAGCTCGTGCAAACCCAGACCTATTAAATCTGATGCTAAACATCATGTACATTTTGTGCTAATGTGCCCATCTTGCTGTGAATCCAGACAAACCAGCCTTCTTCTTTTACAGTTTCTGCTTCTTGATGTAAACGGAGAAAAATATGCTGATTCATGCTTTCATCAGCACCAAAAACATCTCCAAATCTGTACTGCCATAAACAAACCTGACCAAAGGTAAAGAGGAAAAGCATTCACCAGGACCCTGATTAAGTGAATCTTTTAACCCTCCAAACCACAAACTACAGTATTGAGCCCGTATCTGCCACAAATCTCACAAACTGACATCACCAGCACCCTCTAAGCCTCAACCATAGGCCTCAACACAAATACTCAACATCAGGGTCGGATTTAGGACTGAAGAAGATCCGGGGCTTAACACACACACACACACACACACACACACACACACACACACACACACACACACACACACACACACACACACACACACGTGACACGCACTAGTCAACATCATATATATTTGTCTTGTACAGGCACGTGCAGAGCGGGGTGCGGAGGGTGCTTGAGACCCTGCCCCTTTTGTCCGAAGTTCCCAAAGTGCCCTTTTTCCGGTCGTTCGTCAGATTTTACCGTACAAAACTGTTATACTGTGTTACATTCGGGCACTAGGACCATGCAGAGGCAGCCGCCTCAAGCTGAAGGCTATTTTCCCTTAGACCCGCCTACAAACTCACTGATTGGCTCTGCCGCGTCATACTAACGAGTGATTGGTTGTCCTTACTGTCGCTCTACCTTGTTGAGACTACAGACCAATGTTTTCCCTGCGGACAGGAGCCTGCGTTCATCTACCTGTAAGTTTTTTTTCTGCCTGCTTCACGTCAGCTGGATAGATTTTAATATCAGAGCTTTTGTTTACGTGCGTTTGAGTCCGTGGTTAGTGTGTGTGGAGCAGAGTCAGGTAGCTGCATGTCTGGGACAGAAAATGAGACATGAGAGAGACTTCTCCTGAAGTGTTGCAGAAACTCAAAGAATCAATGTCTCACTTTAGATTCTCCGGGTCATAACTTCTGAATTACTAATCGAATAAAAATAATTCAAACGGTTTCTAAAAGTACATAAAACGAGCTTTCCAACGAGGTATTACATGATGTTAGTCCTTTTACTCCAAAAATCGCTGTTAGAAGGAAACCAGCTTTGCAGCATCACAGAAAGAAACGTAGCGAACCGCGACGGGAGGGCGAGAACCGAAAGGAGGAGATGATCTGATCATCTTCATCAGCAGCATTTATAAAGTTATGGAAACGCCACAAATAAAATCCACCTGGTTGGTCAGGTGTCCCAGAAGGCTGTTTCTGTAGATGGTGACATGAGGAGGGACAGATTAAAGTCACACTGGTTTTTATTTGAACACTCAACTGTTTACTAAATGATTCAGCTTCATTCCAGCATTATTTATACGTACAATAAATATTTATTTAGCTGAAAATATAATGTTATCAGTGCAGAATTTTATTAGTTGACTTTTTGTAATGAAATATTTACATTTAACCTTTTATCTGCTTATTGATCTTCATAATGCTGGTCAAGGGCGTCAGTTTGTTTTCAGAATTGCTGGGGACAATAACCATACACTTGAGTGGGGTTTAAAAATTGCTGGGGACAATAAAGTAGGCTAGCACAGGGGTCGGCAATCCGCGGATCTGGAGCCGCATGCGGCTCCTCCATCCATCTGATGCGGCTCTCTGTACTTTTAAAATAATGAATGGATATTTAAATAAAATGCTTTATATTTTACTGCATTAATTTTACATCTGTATGCCAATTCTAAATGTAAAGATTGTCTGCGTAAACCTGAACAGGTCCAACCCAGTCTTACTGTGAGACCGGGTTGACGCGTCACGCTTGTGCGTAATCATAGGCGCTTCTGAGCTGCTTTCTGACCTTCCCCACCTACAAAGTTTAATTACAACAATCAAATGTGACAGAGCCCGGATTTGTATTCTGAACAGTCTAAACATGTTTTAAAAAGAATCGCGTGACAAAAGTGGCACCTGCTCAGTAAAACCACCAACAGGGTGAAAAATATCAAAATATTGTCGGCAGAGACAGGCTACAACTTCTGGATCCACTTTATATAAATCGTTTTATTGATTATCTTCTTACGAAAGATAACTTTGACGTACACGAGCGACTAGGCGCGTTGCAAACTTTTCAAAAGTGTGGAGGATATTGTCTGTGCCTAAAATAAGTTCATGCTATTCATCTTGTTATTTTAATTTCCATAATAGCGGAGCAGGTGCGAATTTTAGACGCGTCACGCATGTCTCCGTTTTAAACATGTTTAAACTGTTCAGAATCCAAATCCAGGCTCTGTCTCGTTATATTGGTATAACTAAAGTTTGTACTGAATGAAACTTTACATTAAACCATGTTGAAAAGAAAAGGATCCGATTAAATCGTTTCCTCCTCATTTACAGTCACGACGTACAGCGCAGTGCGCGTGGCTCTGGGGTTAATCAAGTTTAATTGTTTCTCTTTGCAACAATCTTCACAGGAAGGCAAAACAGTTAAATGACAGGTTACAGATATTTCCATTTGACTGTTTATTTTGACGGATAAACTCAAGGATGTTCGTTCATTTCCTCCCACTGAAGCGGTCTGGAAACCCGGTCTCTCTGAGGGATGTGTCACTTGGAAAAATGTTATTTTTATGAAATTATGAAAGTTTGGCTGAACAGCGCTTGTTCCCATCTCCAATATGGAGACGCATGACGCATCCAGTCGCCTCTTCAGCTCAGAAAGCAGCTGTAGAGACATTTGATCACGCACAAAGTTTATGTGGAGCAGAAGCGGTCGGGCCACGGCAGGTGAAATGTTCCTAGCCTACATGAAGTGAAACTGTTTAATTGTAACATTAATGTGTTACTGGACACGCAGGTCTGGTTGGTTAGACCAGTGTTTGAAGTGGAACACACACACACACACACACACACACACACACACACACACACACACACACACACACACACACACACCAGATAAAATAATGCTGATAGCATGGACTAGAAGACAGGTGATGGTTTACTTATTTAAATGATGATCAGGCTGCTGTAAAATGTAATCTCCATCCACATCCAGACAGAATTATCCTCTATTCTTTCTCTAGTTGCTCTGCTCTCGTCTGGGCCGATAGCTGACGGTGCGCGCGGCACGCCTAACTAGCGGCTGATGCACATTTTACGCATTTGGAGAGGTGGGCTGGATGCTTTGCGTTTACTGGAAGATGGTCCACTTAACGCACGGGTGTAGACTACATATTAATGACAAATGAATGAAAATTAAATTGGGAGTTTTTACTTCATATTTTATAAATAAAAATGACGGGGGAACACATTTATGACGTCTTTTTAAACAAAATTTTCTAGCGCGACCTGCCTGCCTCACTAAGTCACAGCTTATTAAGGTCCGTCCAAAATTACCTTGGCCCACCCAAAAATGAAAACCTGGCGCCGCGCCTATTATAAACCTCTGCAAATGGTTG